ACAGGTCAGATCTGTGGAGAGGCGACCCCATTCACAGTCAGAATCAGTTTTTCTAGGTATTTTTGAGCTATAAAACCCACTTTAATTGAATAAATGTAAGGTAGAGCTGATTAATGTCATACTGTGGAACATTCCAGGCAGAGCAATGACATATCCATAGGACCCTCGCCCAGAAAAGTTACACAGTGCACCTTTAAAGTCACAATACAAACAAATTAAACCATAAATAAGCATCATAAACGAGAAAGAAGGAGAAAAGTGTAGAATAAAAACAGTAAGGCTGCACAAAACTGAAACATTATATTGATCTAAACTAGTATAAATATTGGGAGGAAACATTTGACATTTCCTGCATAGTTTTAGAATAATCTTTATCCATCAGAATAAGTTGGAAATTACATTACAGGGTTGGTAAAAATTGGTATCAACATTGGTATTGACAATCAAGCCCTCATTTCCTTATCTTAAAAGTTGTTTAGTATTGATGGTATTGATTAGAGCCATGACAACGCTAGTATATACTTAAATATAGTTGTTTTGACCTGCCTCTGGGTTTCTGTGCTTTTGTAGCTGTCAGAGATTGTTTTTGGGAGCGAGGTGAAAAAGAGCTTGGCCCAGTGTCTCTCGGTTTGATAGTGCCAAGTAAACATCAAGTGACATGCTATTTCGTGGCTTTTCTCCCCTCAAGGCTCCCATCACTTGTTCTGCTTGTACAAAAACAGGCGCTCAGCTGCATGAAGAATTAATGGTCATTTCTTATTGTTGCAGTAAACACTAATTGAGCCTTTAAATATTTTATAAGTCTATAATGCAATGCAAAGTAGGCCATCAAGATTATTTCACCACTCAATCATTTCTTACTTTTATATTTATACTAAAGTAGAAGTGATGTACAGACAGTTTTTTTTTTTTTTACCTTGTTTGCCATTACAAGATGTCCAGCTTTTCAGTTGGGGATTCGTCACCTGCTTGTTTCTATGGATATGTCATTGCTCTGCCTGAAATTTTTCAGAGTATGACATTAATCAGCTCTACTTTACATTTATTCAATTACATAGCTCAAAAATACCTAGAAAAACAGACATTCTGACTGTAAGTAGGGTCGCCTCTCCTCAAATCGACTCCATAAAACAGGGGTCATCAAACTAAGACCCGGGGGCCGACTCTGGCCCTCCACGCCCCTCTGCCCCCCACCACTTGAACTGGCCCTATGAGGCAATCCTAAATTACTTTTTGGTAAATAATAACATGTCTGCATCTTGTATTCTGTAGATTTTTTTTTTTCAATTAAAAAATGATATTTATATGAAGTATTTATATTTAAATAATTATATGATGTATTTACATTTGCCGTCAAATTTTCATCACCTGAGAAACTCGAGATCAAACAGTGACAGTCAACACACGTGCAGAGTTCTGTAGTGCAGTTAAGGACAGCAAAATAGCGAGTGTTAAAGTACAAAAAGTTGACAGAGAGTGCCGAGTTTTCAAAGAACAGTGGATGACCGATTATTTTTTTGTTCAGTGTAAGGACCGTGCAGTTTGTCTGATAATGTAAAGAAAGTGACGGTTTTCAAATAATATAATCTGCGTCATCTGGGTCATACAATTCTGTTATACGGCCGACCCGACCCTGGCCCCCCATCACAGTCAGGAGCGATAATGTGGCCCCCTGAGAAGAGTAAGGTTTAATGCCATACTGTGAAACATTCCAGACAAAGCAATAACATCTCCGTGGAGAAAAGCATTTTATAGACTCTCCACCCGAAAAGAGACACAATGCACCTTTAAGTAACTACAGAGCAACTTCGAAAAATATTACGGTATTCTGGGCCAACAGTGTCCAATAAAACATCTTTATTACACCAATTTACATGATCTGATCCATCATGACTGTATCCACCAGTATTGTATCAGTGCATCCCTCAGTTTAATGCTGTTATATGGAATATTCTCTCCACAATGACAAGCAGAGGGTGGATACTTCACCAGAAATGTTACACACTGCATTAGGGATGTAACGATAACCAAAATATCGTCAAAAGTCTCACAATAATATCGTGGACTGTCACAATATATCGAATCACAAGTTCCTTTGCGTAAATGCATGGTTTTAAAGTAGCAACAGCTTATAAACATTGGAAACTACATGATTCATTTCAGCTCAGACAACATGAAGAAATATGTTTTTTATTTGAATTCTTAGGATTATGATGGAAATAATTCACACCAAAATCTTGTCAAAAGCAAAAAAGTGTCCTATCTACAATTATAAGAGCCTCTCCAAAATATCTCAATAAATAGCTTACCGTGAGATTTGGATATCGTTACATTCCTACACTGCAGCTTTCTATTTTCTCCTTATTTTACATATTGTCAACATATCAACGTACAGTATCTCTACATTTATATGGTGGTGTATCTTGTTTCTAGCTTCTTGTGATACCCCTTGCATCCTTTTTAATTTCATGCCTCATTTCCGATAGCCTGGTGTTTAATTGCAAACTGTTTACAGCTTTATCTGATTAATCTGGCACGCACTTAAGATTTTCCCTTCAAAACTCTCCTTCGTTCTGTTTCGTGCATGACATTTTCCTCTATCACTGCTCCGTTGACCTGTTTATGGGGTTGCTATGTTCTTTCAGACCACTGCATAGAAAGTAATGGTCCATGTTGCTATTTCTAAGAATCATTTATCGTACAACTTCAAACCTGGGCTTCCCTCTCTGCAGCAAAGCGAAAAAAAAAAAAGCAGCTCATTTCCTTTCTTGACGCATTCAGGCCTTGATGTGTCACCCACTAATTATTATAGAGGCCATCTGGGGTGTAATGCGAGCCTGCGGGGCCCATACGAAGACGCAACAGGCGCTCGCTGCAAATAAACTGGTGAAGGATGGTGGAGTGGGTTTGGCTGACGTAAAAAAAAAAAAAAAAAAAGAAAGAAAAAAATCATTAGGCAAGACAAGGCAAGTTTATTTGTATAGCACAATTTGTACACAAAGTAATTCAAAATGGTTTACAGAATAAGAACGACGTTAAAATCACAATATAAGCAGATCAGAACACAAATAATCATCATAAAATTAACATTAAAAGAGAAGAGTGTGGAATAAAAACCTTTCAGTCATATAGAAAGAAAACATAAAGATGCATTATGGAACTTTCTGGTGTTTCAAAACCATTTAAATGAAAATATGTTCACAGTTTGATTAAAGCCTACTTTTCATTACATTCATTTAATTTTCATTACATTTTAAAATTTATTGTGAACATGTTTCCACGTTACACAACCTGAAACATCTTCTGGTGGAGGGTCCTTTACCTGTTTCTTTTCCTTATTGCTTTATCTGTCTATCTCAAGAGAGACAACTATAGGCTACACTACAGGTCAGATCTGTGGAAAGGCAACCCTATTCACAGAGAGAATTATTGTATTTTTGCGCAATAGAAACTCCAGTAATTAATAAATGCTAAATAGATGTGTTTAATGTCATACCGTGGAACATTACAAGCAAAGCAATAACATCTCCATGGGGACGAGCAGGTGATGGACTCTCCACCAAAAGCAGTTGCACAGTGCAGCTTTAACTTCATTGGATTTCAGATAAATTGGTTGTGTAAAGTGGAAACATGTTCACAGTAAACAACAAAATCTTAACAAGGAGGCTTTAAACAGACAGTCCAGAATTTTGGACATAGGGTTTCATTTCCTAGTGAGTCAGAGTGTTGGAAACGTGGAGACACTTTTTTAATATTCCATCCAGTCCTTGTATTTGCAGAGGTCGCTGGTGCAAGGCTAGTGCATGTCAATGGCCATAGTTATCCTGCCACTAAAAACAGTCTTACACACTCCACAAAACACCTGAAGCAAAACAATTATTACACAAGACTGTCGATGTGAACGTCTTTGTTGATAGAATAATGTTTGAAATAAAACTATCCTTGCATTGCATGAATAATCGCATGTTGAGGGACTATTTTCTTATATATCAGTCCGCTGCTGCCAAGCTTTCCATCAGGAAGTACAACTCGCTGCTGCTACTCAGATTCAAATGCAAGGTTGGTTTTATTTCTAAAATTATTCTATTGACACAGACATTCACATTGACAGTCTGGAGTCATAACAGTTTTGCTTCGGGTGTTTTGTGGAGTGGGTAAAATTGTTTTTAGTGACAGGATAACTATGGCCATTGACATGCACTAGTCTAGCACCAGCAACCTCTGCAAATACAAGGACTGGATGGAATATTTAAAAAAGTGTCTCCACACGTCTCCAACACTCTGGCTCACTAGGAAATGAGGTCCTATGTCCAAAATTAAATTGTTTTGAAACATCTTATTAACATAACGCAGAGAACACTGAGTGAATACATTCAAAAGGCCCACATAAAGTCATGCAGTATTTTCTCTGGAGCAGCAACAGTGAAAACATTTGGCAAATTGATAAAATAGTCTGTTGTCTTGATTAAATTACTTAACTTAAATATCTTAAGTTAGTATTGGTATTAAAGCTAATCTGCTTGTGCCAGGTCATCTTATATCCAACAATTATAGTTTATTTTGTGAGTGTTAAAATTACTTGAATTTAAAAAGTTTTATCATGATTTGAGTCAATTTCACTTGACAAGTAAAATAATCTATCAATAGAATGAAACTTTTTGCATTTAAAATGTGAAAATACTTCTTGCTACACTTAAGATGAGAAAAACAACAACTCTTTGCACTTAAAATAAAAAAAACACAATGTAATGTTGCTTGAACTTACAAATAAGATTAGAGATAATTTTACTTTTCAAGTTGAATCTACTCAAATAAAGTAAAATATTCTTAATTTAAGTCATTTTAACTTACCTAGAGATATTTTTTGCAATGTATAGTGACAGTATTTTCTATCGTTCTCTGTCCATAGGTTTACACATCTTTTCTTGAGAGATTTGGATCCTCAGTCCAGACAGTGAGGTGACCACTGCAGCTGCTGGTTCCCACTGCACCTGTCCAAAATGGAGGACAACTACCAGAACCGGACTGCCTTCATTAAAGGTGCCAAAGACATTGCCAAAGAAGTCAAACGGCAGGCCACGAAGAAAGTGGGCCGTTCTGTGGACCGAATGAGCGACGAATATGCCAAACGCTCCTACAGCCGCTTCGAGGAGGATGACGATGATGACTATCCCATGCAGGGGAGCCAGGATGGAGGATATTACCGTGGAGAGAGTCAGGTCTGAACTGAACTATTCTAATGTTTTCTATTGGTGGTGCTTTAATGTGGAACTTTTTAAAGCAAGAATAACACAGACTATTTTAGGGTTGGACAGAATCTTGGTCGTTTTAGCCAGTCAACTTCCTCTGCGGATCTGAAGCACTGAGTAAATGAAGAGAAAGATTATCTGCAGAGGAAGATTATCTGTACACTAGATATCATAATAACTAGATTCCAGACTAATTTTAGACTGTTTTTTTGTGTATAATTCAAGCTAAGTGACAGCGTTTCCCTGTTTTTAGGCCAACGATGATGAAGGAGGACACAGCGACTCCACAGAGGGCCACGATGAAGATGACGAGATCTACGAGGGCGAGTACCAGGGCATCCCGAGGGCGGACTCTGGGAAAGCGAGCATCGCTGGAGGTCCCGGGTCAGTCCAGGCAGGGGCACAGCAGTTCACCGATATCGGGGTGTCAGATGCAGAGAGGAGGAAAGATCAAGAGGAGCTCGCCCAGCAGTATGAGACCATCCTGCAGGAATGTGGCCACGGAAAGTTCCAGTGGAGCCTGTATTTCGTGTTGGGGCTGGCGCTGATGGCTGATGGGGTGGAGATCTTTGTCGTGGGGTTTGTGCTGCCCAGTGCGGAGAAGGACATGTGTCTGTCTGAGCCCAACAAGAGCATGCTGGGTAAGTATATTCATTTTGTCTTCTTTTAAATTTAACGTTTATTTCTTTGGATATGTCTTTGCTCTGCCTGGAATGTTTCCCAGTATGACATTAAACACTCCTACCTCACATTTATTCAATTACAGGTGTTTTTATAACTCAAAAATACCTAGAAAAACAGACTGACTGCGCAGATCTGACCTGTAACTTGGTTTGGGTTGGTCTTCATGAAGATAGAAAGGTTTAATGCCATACTGTGAAATAGTACAGACAAAACAATGACATCTCCATGGAGAAAAGCTACACAATGCACCTTTAAAGGGACAGTTTGGAATTTTGAACATAGGACCTCATTTAGTAGTGAGCCAAAGTGATGGAGACATGTGGAGACACTTTTTAAAATATTCCATCCAGTCCTTGTATTTGCACTCGCTGGTGCTAGACTAGTGCATGTCAATGGTCATAGTTATCCTGTCACTAAAAATAGTTTTACTCACTCCACAAAACACCCGAAGCAAATCTATTATTACGCCAGACTGTCGATGTAAATGTCTGTGTTCATAGAATAATGTTTGAAATAAAACTAACCTTGCATCACATGAATCGTCGCATGTTGAGGGACTATTTTCTCATATATCAGTCCGCTGCTGCCAAGCTTTCTGTCAGAAAGTACAACTCGCTGCTGCTGATCACACATAAATCCTTCAAATGCAAGGCTGGTTTTATTTCAAACATTATTCTATCAACACAGACATTCACATTGACAGTCTGGCGTAATAATAGTTTTGTTTCGGGTGCTTTGTGGAGTGGGTAAGACCATGACCATTGACATGCACTAGTCTAGGACCAGCGACCTCTGCAAATACAAGAACTGGATGGAATATTTTAAAAAAGTGTCTCCACACATCTCCAACACTCTGGCTCACTAGGAAATGAGGTCCTATGTCCAAACTTCCGAACTGTTCCTTTAACCAGTTTAACACATAATTTAACACATAAAAACTGCAATAAAATGACTGGATCACACATTAGGTCATTTTATTGTTATGTTTTATTTAATTAAAATATTTTGTTACTTTTTCCTTCATAGTAAACAAAAACAGAACTGGAGAAAACAGTGAGATACACACCATAGACCATTGTAGTCACTTACGACTCTTTTAACAGTATACTTAAAAAATTCATTTGCAGAAAATAAGTGTCATTTAAGATTTAAAAAATGTAAACTTGCATTTTTCTTTGTTAAGCAACTATGTGCACTTCTTTAGCAAACCCAATCCACTATTTTTCCATTAATGTTATATGTAACAGAAAATGTTGATGTTTTTGCAAATGAAAAATGTATTATCAGGTGCGATATGAGTTGAATATTTGTCTTAGGTCATGATATGCTGAAAATATTTTTGCTACATATTTATTTTGAATAATATTTATTCAAATATGTCCCAAAGAAATCAGGGCAAATGTAGAAAAGAAAAGCTCATTATTTCAGAATGGATAAACTGTGAGTATTTCCAGTTAACTCGGTACATCTTTGTTCTGTGCCTAAATTTCAATCATAAATCTATGATCAGTTCAGTTCTCAGACTGGAAAATACATTTGGAGCCATGGCCAGGATGACAAACACTGCCTTTGTGTGCATGTTTGTTTTATACATAATAGAGAAGCAGGTGATAGTCTCCTGCCCCCACAGCTGCTTTTGTCAACAGCACCAAAGAACCTCTGCGCTTTATCACAAACAGACCATCCACATATTACAGGAAAGGCCCTGAACTCAAGCCCAATCCATATGTGAAGCAGAACTGCTCAGTAAAACAAAAGATACCTCAAAATGTGTGACATTTTTAAATTTGCGTCAATACCATCTTATTAATGCCCAATCTTATCAGCTCTCAGAAGTAAGACTGTGCCTGGATAGTACTGGGATGGGAGACTACTGGGAATACAGGTGCTACCAGGAGAACATCGGCTCTTATTGGAACTGTTGTTGTGTCCTTAGACAAGACCCCCATATGAATGATGCACTTAAAAGCTCTTTGGGTGTCTTGAAAAGCACCATATAAATTTTGGGTCCCTCATGATTTGATACGATACACAACACATGGCTCACAATACAATATTATCATGGTATGGCGATACATGTGATGACTGATATATTAAACATGATATTCTGTGATATAAAGCTGCTTTTTAAGAACTAAACAATAACAAACAATAACAACATTATTTTAGATCATCAAAACAGTGAATATGTCAAGTGTATCACATAAACTATACCGTATCACCACATTTAAGTATCAAGCTATATGATATTTTTTGCATACTCCAGGTGTAAATCCAATGAATCCATGTAGGTTCAGACAACAGGATTAACCATGAATCTAGGGCTCAAAGGTGCATTGTGGAAATTTTCTGGTGGAGGGTCTTCATGGAAACCAAACCAGACCAAGTTAAAACTCAGATCTGTGGAGCGGCAAAACCACTCACAGTCAGAATGCCTTTTTTCTAGGTATTTTTGAGCCGTAAAACCATCTGTAATTGTATAAATGTAAGGTAGAGCGGTTTAATGTCATACCGTGGAACATTCCAGGCAAAGCAATGACAAACAAGCAGGTGACGGACCCACAACCAAAAAGTTACACGGTGCATCTTTAAGCTATATAAATGGAGACGCAAGCAAGGGAGACAAACACAAACTTCTTAGAAAAACATATAACATGTTGAATGTGAACCTCTCTTGTCCCTCTGCACAGGTCTGATTGTGTACTTTGGGATGATGGTGGGGGCGTTCTTGTGGGGGGCTCTCGCGGATCGAATCGGACGTCGCCAGGCACTCCTCATCTCTCTCTCCATCAACAGCATTTTCTCCTTCTTCTCCTCCTTCGTCCAAGGATACAGCACCTTCCTGTTCTGCAGACTGCTCTCCGGAGTCGGGTAAACAAAGGAAATCTGTGTCATGTGTTTAGAATCTTTGTACTGCCAACTGCTTTTAGATAGTGGATGCATTCCTTCAAAAAATTATGTTGACCACAAATGAATATTTTTGGGGTTAAATTATGTATATATTTTAAACAGATCAACTTATATGATTTGCTTTATGGTGGAATGTTATATTTATTTAGGGCCAACATTTCTTTTTGTCTGTATCATTTTTATAGACTATTTTCTTAATTCTTAACTCCATTTTCATTCATTATTGTTTCTGTCTGTCTATTGTCTAAGATATTTTTTCTACATTTAATTTGCTTTTAATTTGGTATATTTAGCAGGGACAGTGTGCATTAATTAAAATGTTTAATTTGTGTTGCAGAATTGGTGGATCTATTCCTATCGTTTTTTCCTATTACTCTGAGTTTCTGGCTCAGGAGAAGCGTGGAGAGCACCTGAGCTGGCTCTGCATGTTTTGGATGATTGGAGGGATCTATGCCTCTGCCATGGCCTGGGCCATTATCCCACATTATGGTGAGCTAATAAAGCCGTCACGGCTGAATATACAATATTCAGTCATAACAAAGGAGAAACATTTTGCAGCTCATCCAAGCTGCTTCTTCAGTTCTGGTCAGACGCTGATGGACACTGCCTTATATCTGCTGAAAGGAATGAGCTAACTACACTGACTACTCTAAAACTAACACACCTACTTGTTTACAGTTTCTGTTTGTTAGCAAGATCTATTGAACTGAACTAAGTGGGGACTGTGCTGAGTCATATTAGCATGATCATTAAGGCCCCTAATGGTTGCTAATGATGTTTGAGCCTTGATTTTTGTTCAAAGATGGATTGTTTTGCCTACCAAAAATAGCTTCTTTAACTCCCCTCTTAAACCATTTCTTTTCTTTGGCTAAGATCTGTACCTCACTATCCTTAAAGGAGTGGCCCGTGGCTTTGAGATGGAGTTGTACAGCAGACTGGGTCGTCGCCACATTGCTTTGTTTGCGGCTCGGTAGTTTCAGAGTAGTTTAGGAGTAATTAGCTCCTTCCTGCAGGCAGATATGAGACAGTGACAACCAGCAATCTGACCAGAACTGAAGAACTGAAGAAGCACCTTGAATGAGCTACGAAACATATTTGATCTCCTTTGCTATAGATCCTACCTGGATGACTGAGGAATTTAACAAACATCAGAACAATGTCCAGTCATGTAATCATCTCCTCATCTCCTGTTATCTCATCCTATTACTGTGAAGAAGAGCTATTTGAACCTACTCTGGGATCCATTAATCTAAAATATTGTAGTTGAAGTTACAATTTTATATTATTATTTTATATTATTTTAAAACATTTGATACGTTTGGTTAGCCCAGATAGCGTCCTATTCTCAGCCATAGTCATTAATATGTTTTATATCCATCCATATCCAACAGTATTAAAAAAGATACATTTTGCTTTCAGTGGTTAATGGCACTTTGCCCCATGTGTCTGACTACAGGTGATATATAGTTCACTAATATTCTCTTCAGTAGCAAAGGTGCCAAAGACAATCCATGTATAATCTTTTCTCCGCGGTCCTCATTTTGACAGTGCAACATTGATGTTACACCGAGTCTGAGCAGCGGTGGGCGTGTCTTGGTACAGTCTTGACAAGTGTATCTCTGGATCCAAATGTCCAGGGCTCATTTTATCGGAGCTCCTGTTTACACACTCCACTCTGCAGCTGACCTTTGACCTCCCTGGAGGCACCTTACTCTGCGTCACTCACATTGTGTATTGATTTTGGTCTGTGTTTTATGCCTAAGGCCAGACACTACAACTTGCTACATATCTGACATAAAAATATTATATTTTACTGCCTATATAACATTGCAATGATATTCCCCTCTTATTCATTTTTTACTCTGCTGATTTAGTTTTTTAATTAACTGTAACTTTTTTGGTGTAGACCCTTCACTTTCTACATGGATTTTAATGCCTTGAAAATTCAAGTATGGCATAAAAATACAAACATATCAATAACAAGACAAGCTAGTCACAGAGCCCTCACCAGAAAAGCTACTTACATTTATTTACACACCTTTATTGTTTTGATGCCATAGCCTCTTTTTACCTGTTGTTGTTTTACATGAAAAACTGGTCCCTTTCACTCTGTAACTGCTGTAGTGAACCTCGTCATTTTGGTCTTAAAATGTTTGTATTAACCATAGACTGTATAAAGAAGTGGACTAATCGAGTGTGACGTCACCCACAGCTTTTAAATGTACAAAATAGTGAAAAGAAACCCCAACAGGATCATGTAGAGTGGGTTAATATGAACATTTTAAGACCAAAATGAGGCTCACAGCAGCAGTGACAGAGAGAGGGGCCACAATTTTCCAGTGTAAGTCAATGGGAGGCAGGGTCAGAAGTCCACTTCTTTACATAGTCCTTGGTGTTGCCCTAAGATCTGTCTCTGCTCCCTCAGGATGGAGTTTCCAGATGGGCTCGGCCTATCAGTTCCACAGCTGGAGGGTGTTTGTGCTGGTCGCTGCATTTCCATCTGTGGCAGCCATAGCAGCTCTCAACGCCATGCCCGAGAGCCCACGCTTCTACCTAGAGGTCCGCCGCTAAACATTATTATGACAGTGTGTGTGGGCGGGCTTTGAGCTATGCATAATATATTTGAGTGTCTCCTCAACAGAATGGGAAGCACGATGAAGGCTGGATGATACTAAAGCAGGTCCATGACACCAACATGAGAGCCAAAGGGTATCCGGAGAGGGTCTTCTCTGTGAGTAAGACTAGGGATACACCTTTTTCAGTTATGATACCGATGTCAATACTTGGACTTTAAATATCTGCCGATAACCAATATTAACAGATATCAGTGTAGGGACAAAAAATTACACTTATTTCCTTAAACACACTTAATTTATTACACATGAGCTCCAGTTGTTATTTATCCTTCAAATAACTAGTGAACAGTTTTGTATAAATAAAAGTTCAAACATTAGGAGACGTTTCATTAAAATAAAGGCCCAACCAGGATATCGCCTGGAACAATATCATGAAACCGATGCCCAACAAATTTTTCACTAACTGTGCTGATATCGGATACCAGTATCTATATCTCTCTATCAGCATATCCCTATACAAGACATGCACAATAAACAATGAACACTAAGCATTTTATACATAATATCCCAGTTACTGTGCTACAAAGCATTTACAGTATTATTACGTTTATCAAAATAAAAGGCAAGATTTGGTTTAAAATGACGTATGTTTGCACAGCTTGGTTAGATTTGTACAAACTTTATTAATTCTTTATTGATTAAAGAATTTACTTTACTCGAAACTACAAATATATGTACCAGTCTACATATATGAATTAAATATAATCTTTTCTGATTTGAAGGACAACAGAGGATTCTTGTCATGACAAATCCTTGAAATCAGCAAGAAATCCTGATAACTGCAACTAATAAATATGAAAATGCCAACAAGATCACTTCAAGATTCTATATTGAGCAACATGGACTTTTATGAGCTTTTAGTTGTATTGCTGTTACCTCCCCAAAAACATGCCCAGAGTTGTGTTTTGTTTTATTTACAAATACTTCATTTATCCTATTATTAGTTTGTCTACATCTCCAAAGCTCAAAATGCTCTGTTCTACCTTGTGATGTCTTGAAGGATTTAAATTATTAAAAAAAAAAAATCTAATTAACATCTACCTTTTACCTTTAGTTCAGTAGACACTGACATTTTCAGGGCTAAAATCATCCAAATTATTCTAGTGAAGGTGTATGGAGTTTAAAAACATAGTCTAGCACCTGTATTACCACATGACATCACAAGGTGAGTGTTTTGTGTGTTAAACATGTGTGAATGAAACAAAACACAACTCCAGGTTTATGATGAGGAAACAACATTATAACATAGATGAGAAAATAGTGCAATATGGGCCCTAACATGTATGCAAATGTATATATATACAAAAGGCTAGAGATAGGGAAGATACCTTAGATTTTGAGCACCAGCCTTTTATTGCTGCACTGTCTCCTCTTCTTACCCTTTTATTGAGTGCACTGAAGGAGATATGACAAGATTTAAATTAGTCTCTTGTCGTCTGGCGATGATTGAAGGCTGTGTTTTGTCTCCCTCAGGTCACCACCATTAAAACAGTGAAGCAGATGGACGAGCTGGTGGACACTGGAACTGACACTCCGGTCTGGCAACGCTACCGCCTCAAGATTATGAGTCTGTCCCAACAGGTCAGTCAATGAGTCGAAGGGCAGACAAAGGGTGGGCAGATTGTCCTATTGATTACATTGCTCTTTGCCATGACATATTCAAAAGGTAAATGCACAAAGTTCGAACCTGATCATTTCTATTAGTGAGCCAGGGACTCACTAACCTGATTCATCAGCCGCTTTCACTTCGTAGAAACCGTCTGACCTTGCAGCATTAGGATTTGTTTGCTTGACAGTAGGCGGGTACATTTTTTCATTTAAACAATCGCTACTATTTGGTCGGGATGTATGTAATGTGCCACTAACGAGGGTAACAGGTGTATTATGCTTTTCTCAAATCCCAGTAGGAAGAAGGGCAATAATGTCTTTCCCCTGGATAAAATTCACCAAACATTCTCTTTGTTCCGGCTTTAAATTCTTGATCTCAGGAATCGTTGCCAACACAGAATGTATGGTTCATCACTGATTGGCTAGTGCCCGAACTCGCACTTCTGGGATTTTTCGTGAACTGTCTAATGTATTCCAATTCCTGACCTAGTCGCTGGAGAGAAATGAAATCAAGCAGAGGCACTAGATAGCTCCATCCTGGCTAGGAGCTCACCTTAACGAAAACGAAAATCTGCAATTAAACAAAATTCTGTACCTAGAGTTGTGTTTTGTTTTATTCACACATGCTTCAGTTATCCTATTATTAGTCTGTCTACATTTCCAAAGTATTAGAGGTCGTTTTTTGCCTTTTGTTCAGTAGATTGTAGTAGTAGGGCTGAAAATATCCAAATGATTCAATTGAAGGTGTTTGGAGTTTAAAAACACATTGGAGCACTTCCTTTATTACCACATTACAACATAAGGAGTGTTTACGTTGGAGAGAAGAAGCCTAAACATGCAGGGTTTGTGTGTTAAACATGTGTGAATGAAACAAAATCTCTTGGTATGTTTTTGATGAGAAAACAACATTATAACATCGATCAGAAAATACCATAATATGGGCTCTTTAAGATATTACCTGGTCTAAAATGTATGAGAAATGTTGTCATACTTACTGTCATTGCCAAGTCAATATATACCATAATTAAGCACCTTATGGATTTGTCTCATACAAAGCTTGATTCATTGGTACACCAAGATCATTGATTATTGATCTTAAATAAAATCTAACTGACTTGCTGCCCCTTGAATCCCTATTCCGCATTATAACTTGAAATATAGCTTGTAGATTTGCCCACGTTTTCACTACTGAGTGTTAAACTAATGGGCTATTTCATAAACGGTGCACATAATATGCGTGGTGTATTTTTCGCAGTAAAAGATTAATTGTGTGTAGGAGTAAATCGTGTTTGCAAAAAAATAGTTTCAGCTTCTCTCCTCAGAGCTGTAGTGTTTTGTGTGTGATGGTTCTTTGTATTCAGGCTATGCTCTCTCACTGTACACGCCCACTGCTCTTCTTAAAATCTATCCATCTATTTATGAACCTGTAATAGCAAACATGACATTTTCTCTGCGTTCTACTTAAACGTGCATTGTGTAACGTTTCAAGTGGAGGGTCAATCAAATGCTTTTCTCCATGGAAATGTCATGCATGGTATGGTATTAAACCTTTTTATCTTAATGGAGACCAAACCAGACCAAGTTACAGGTCAGATCTGTAGAGAGGCGTCCCCACTCACAGTCAGAATGCCTGTGATTCAATAACATATCTATCTGTTTAATGTCAGACTGTGGAACCTTCAAGACAGAGCAATGACATCCATAGAAACAAGCAAGTGATGGACCCTCCACCAGAAACGTTACACAATGCACTTTTAACCCTCTCCAGGCAGGCGTTGCAGATTTGCAACAGCTAAATTCCAAGTACCTACTTACTCCACATCCATATTTTATGAGCTTTTTTTACTCAGGAGCCTTTTTTCCCATCCATGCTGATAAATGTGGGCAATGCAGACTGTGCAAGAATGGCTACACGCAAACGGCCTGCCAGAAGTGCAAAATACTTTTTTTGTTTACAAAGGATAAAAAAGTCAGAATTGTATATTACTACCCCATATTATAATTTTCCCCAAATATCAGATTTTTCCTGATACTAAAAATTAATTTGAGCCTGAGAGGGTTAATGAAAAAGTCATTGATTCATCAGCCGGTTTCACTTCGTGGAAACCATCTGACCATGGCATTAGGCATTAGGATTTATTCACTCGACAGTAGGCGAGTACTTTTTTATTTAACCATTCGCTGCTATTTGGTTGTGACGTATGTAATGCTCCAAATCCCGTAGGAAGAAGGGCAATAACGTCTTTCCACTTGATAAAATTCATTAAACATTCTCTTTTTTCCTACTTTAAGTCCTCAATCTTGGGAATTGTTGCCAACACAGAATGTTTGGCTTCATCTACATCCATCTCGACTGCTTTATTTACTGTTGTGCTGTACCACAAAAGAGAACCAGACAGGCGCTTGAGTTTGACTTCATGGCTTCATAGCTCTTTGCTGATTGGCTGGTGTGCGGTCTACAACTTCCGGGGTTCGTGCAAACCGTCTAGTGTATACCAATTCCTGACCTAGTCGCTGGAAAAAAAATTAAATTGAGCGGAGACACTAGGTGGTACCAGCCTGGTTAAGTCATTGGTTCAACATAATGTAAATTTGGGTCTGAGTACTGGTCTGAGATACCATCTCCTTGATAATGGTCTTGTATCAGTTACTTTTCTTCTTTTTATGCTTCCAATCTTTCTTAAAGGAGCACTGTGTAACTTTTCGGGTCATGGTTCCACCACCTTGACAAAAAATTGATTCTTACTGTGAGTGACTCTACATATCTGATCTTCAAATGTCACAAACTGCTTGTCTTCATAGAGATACCTATGGTAAATGCTGTTCTGTGGAAGGCATTAATAATATCTCCATGAAGACAAGAAGGTTTTGGACCATCCCAGAGAAAAGTTACATAGTGCACCTTTAATAACTTAAGACTTTTGCACTGCTTTTCAGTAACTTTTTTGTTACTCTTTTTGCAGATTCGTAACAACATTCTAGCCTGCTTCAATCCAGAGTACAAACGCACAACTTTTATGCTGATGGCTGTGTGGTTTAGCATGTCTTTCAGGTACAATCAATATAAAACTTTACATTATACTGTATTTTCCACAGCCTATGTATTTATTTAATTCTGTTATACTGTGTGCAGCTACTACGGTCTGACAGTTTGGTTCCCAGACATGATCAAATACATCCAAAAACAGGAGTACGAGTCTCGCACAAAAACATTCACCAAAGAGCGAGTGGAGCATGTGACCTTCAACTTTACACTGGAAAACCAAATCCACCGCCAGGGATACTACTTTAACGATAAGTGAGTAGTGCTTTCAGTGGACAAACGTGAATCATAAATAAAGTGCTAATTGGAACTATGAAATCTTGCAGGTTTCTGAATTTGAAAATGAAATCAATGGTGTTTGAGGATTCAGTTTTTGAGGAGTGCTACTTTGAGGACATCACATCCACCCACACTTTCTTTAGGAACTGCACTTTCGTCTCAACTTTATTCTACAATACAGGTAAACAGTGACTGATGTTAAATTAGATTCAGTCAAAATTTTAAAATAAACCAAGAAATCTTATTCACTCAACATTTCAAAATAAATCAAGAACTAAAATCTAATTCAGGCAACATTTCAAAATAAAGCAGGAATTTTCACAATGCCTTTAAGATATTGAGCAAACCATCTTCAAAACTCACATATGTCTATTTTACCAACGTGTTTACAGAAGGAAAAGGAAAATCGATGCCTGAACGCAGTGTTAATTGTTGTTTGTGTTGTTGACCAAGCCTGCAGAATGTGGGCGGTGGGGGAGGGTAGGCAAAAAAGAGGAAGTCAGTTAACCTTATATTAAACCAACGGAGATTTTAAGACGCCAAAAACTAAACCAGCAGCTTACTGGGTTTTTCCAGAGCTCTTTTATATAACCTACTTCTTACTTTTTTGGGCTAAGACATAGAAGGTTTGCGATAAAGCTGCAAAAATGGAAGACTTTGATAATAACGATCGCTTTTAGATGTTCAGATGTCAAGAGCTCCATAGTTTAAATCAGTGTTTCCCAAACTTTTTTTCCGGGGAACCATATTATAGGTTTTGCCAGATGAAGGCCTAGTGCCGAAACTTTGCACGGTTTGTCCTAATAACTCTCACAATTTGCAAGTAAGATGGTGTGCGGGATTTTTGTCTATGTTCTCTGGCTGCTCACTCTCCTCCAACGCACCCGTCTCAAGCAATTGATGTGCGAAGTTCTCATCCTTTTATATCAGGGACACATATTTTAAAAGTCACAAACCTTCACAATCCAAGTCAATAGACATTATTCTTAAATCACAAAATAAAGGTGGATTTGACCATTATTGAACATTAATGAAGATATTTTATTGTTGACTGAGTGATCATATCTCTCTGAACAATTAGTATTACTCAAGTTTTAAACAGTAATTGAACCAGCAGTAAAAGGTACCCATAAGTTGCCTATTTGGACATTAAATGTAGCCCATTTCTTTTTCTTTTCAACATTAAATTGACCTGTATGCAGATCGTGACAAGGTGACTCAAAAACAATGGTTTAAATGATTTTAGGATGATAATAATGTATGTAGAGTAGATTCTGTCTTTATAGTCCATACTTGCTAAATTACTGATAGATTAGGTAATGATTTCAGTGTGTAAGTAAGATATAAGGGGTGTTCAATCGGCAGGCGCACTTGGTTGGTTTAGATTGTTCACTGGTTTAACAGCTGTTATCTTTGGGAGGTGGAAACCAATGATATATAATAAGGCCTTATTTATATCTCATTGGTGGAAACAATGGGTCGGCTGAAGGCTACCACGGGAACATCTGTTAGTCATCTCCATGGTGACTTTTCTGCAAGTGTCACCGTAGCGACGTAAACAAATCCGGCGCGAATCCGGCAGAGGTGTTTCAGCCTCCAAAGCCGCAGATGTGAGTGCATATCTCATGAATAATGAGATCAAAATAATACTAACAAACCACAAATGTGACACCTGGAAAAAATATTTATGCAGTTGCTTTCTTCTGTATTTAATTAGTGAATGAGAATTAGACACAGCAATCAATTCTGAGTTAAGATGTTAATTACTAAAGTTGGCACTCCTTCATAACTGTTTTTCTGCTTGACAGACTTTGCCAATTATATTTGCTGTATAATACATAGTAATTTAATACTAAGTTGCATTTCACTGTTGTTTTTGTTGTTACAATATGCAATTATACACATTTGTTGGGCTATTATAAGTTATTATGTTAAATATTTCTCCTCTTGCTGAACTGAACCACCAAGCCAGTTGCCTTCTGTGCATGTTGGGCTGCTTTGAGAGTGTTTAAGCAGCAATTTTGAGTATTTAAAGAATAATTTCTGAAAGGTGCGTTATGTAACTTTTTTGTTGTGATTGTCTTGTGCTTGATGTGTCATTGCTCTTCCTGGAATGTTCGACAATATGACATTAAACAGCTCTACCTTACATTTATTCAATTGCAGGTGGTTTTATTGCTCAAAAATACTTAAAAAAACTGGCATTCTGGCTGTGAGCGGGGTTGCCTCTCCAGAGATCTGACCTTTAACTTGGTCTGGTTTGGTCTCCATGAAGATAGAAATGCTTCATACCATATTGTGAAATGTTACAGACAAAACAATAACATCTCCATGGAGAAAAGCACTGACAGACCCTCCACTGGAAAAGTTACACAATGCACCTTTAAACTAAATACTAATTAAACTGTACAAACAATCCTTCAGTGGTTTTCACAAATGTTGTACCGAACACTAAAATCTTTATGTCTTTCCTCTCAGACTTGTTCAAATACAGGTTAGTGAACTGTAAGCTCCTGAACAGTTCCTTTTATCACAGCAAAGAAGGCTGCATGTTGGACTTCAGCGATGACTTCAACAATGCTTACATGATTTACTTTGTCAACTTCCTCGGCACCCTGGCCGTGTTGCCTGGCAACATTGTCTCCGCTCTATTAATGGACAAAATTGGTCGTTTAAGAATGCTGGGTGAGTAAATGTGAAAAGACAGCTCAATTTGTTAGCAGATGATGAAGAATGAATTATTTTCAATTTTATTTTGTTTTTTTGTCATCACACAGCGGGGTCCAGTGTCATCTCGTGTGTCAGCTGTTTCTTCCTCATGTTTGGAAACACAGAGTCTGGGATGATCGCCCTCTTGTGTTTGTTTGGAGGTATTAGCATCGCCTCCTGGAACGCCCTGGATGTCCTCACAGTGGAGCTCTACCCCTCAGATAAAAGGTACCAGTCACAAAGGTCTCACTGTTTTACTGTTCATGCAATGTGTAATTAGCAAGAAACTTATCTGGTTGTGCAGAAAATACTGCAATACAATACTCAGCTAACAATACTTATTTGTGCTTACTGCTTTTAGTCCTAATTGAGACATCAGCTTTGATCAGTAGTGTAATTGTAACCTACACAGCGCCCTCAAGTGGTGGTAAAGGATAGATGTACAAATGATACTCTGCAGTGACATCACACTGGGGGCGTTCTACATGTGTCTCTATTGGCAGAATGTTCAATGGTTACCATGTTGACACAATGCACGCATTAGCAAACACTGCAGAAACACATTTTCAGGAGCCTCTCATTAATACGAGGGTTCATGATCCTGTTTATCAATCAAACTTTATTTGTATAGCACTTTTCATACATTTGAAATGTAGCACAAAGTGCTTCACATGCAACAGAAAAAAATTACAATAATTAAAAACAACAGCAACCCCACCTCCACCCCAGTGTTTCACCCAAATACAACAGAAACATAAAACATTAACATAAAGCTCCTTAAGGTTATAGTAAAAATAAAAAATTGAAGAACTAAAATTAGATGGAGACTAAGTAAAATAGTAATGATAATTTAATTTAAAACAAATATAATAATAATGCAATATGTTTAGGAGTTTGATTTTCAACAAAAAAGGTGAGAACGACTAACAGAAAAACTGTTTGCTCAGCACAAACTATCTCACATGTTGTAGTTCCAACTAAGTCTGCTTTTTTTGGTTGTTAAAATTAAAGATTCAGATTAAAGTCTTAACAAGCCTCAGACAGAGCAGTGCCTACAGTTAGCATCACTCCCCCAGGGAATGTTTATGGGATCAGCTGCAAAGTATCAATAGACTCATCTGCAAAACAAACTACATGCATGATATTACAACTGCTGCTCGTATTGCTACTTATCATACTATAATGTGGCATATTTCCATTGCTACGAATGGTCGCTACTAAAACAGCTGATCTTTCACTGCCTGAGCCAAAATCATTACCTGCCCAGCCCTCAGTGATGAATCGGGTCTTCCTGTGGAGTCTGGCACCAGGACAAAGCTGTTAAATTTGCTCCTGTAAAAGTGATATTGATTTTGTGTGTGTGAGAAAGACACTTTTAGGTCTCTGATGTGTATTTCGAGGTGAAAGAATTTACTGCCTTTCGCCTTTTGACACAAGCTTATAAACTGATGTCTTTATTTCCATTTGGCTACAGTATAGTTTAGCGCCTGATCATTTGCCAGACAAAGTTCTGCTGCCAGTGAAGCTTTCAAATTGTGGTTTCAGTGATAAAATGTTACCTATTTTCTTTGTGGCCGTATCTTGTTTCTCTATGCTACTCTATCTGAAGTTGTCTCAAACAGAGCAGCTTTTAAGGGGCAAATACTGTTCGGCCAATTAGAGGTAGTCTAGCAGAATAGAGAAAAGTAAATTTAAATTACAGTAGCATTAATTGTTGAACTAATTATTTGAACTAAAGTTGGCTTACATTTCCATGTATTCCCACATAGATTTAAAATTGAAAATATCTGTTGGGAAATTATGTTAAACAGTGACAGGACAAGATCTTTTGAGATAAAACTGCCACAATATCGTGCACACATGAAGAAAATTATCTTGTGATCCTGATTATTTTTCCATGTAGTTCACGTCTAGATTGGCCGAAAAGAGTTTAAGTGCTAAATTTGTTGAGATAATATCTTTTGTAAATATAAATTATAGTTTTACACCAATGAAGAAGCAATTTCTGAAGAAAAGTTGAAAAAAAATGTTGAAAATTACAGCAAGTAGAGAACAGAGGTGGGACCAAGTCATTGCTTAGCAAGTCTCAAATAAGTCTCAAGTCTTTGACCTCAAGTCGGAGTCAAGTCCCAAGTCAAATACAGCCAAGTCCAAGTCGAGTGCTGAGTCACTGGCCCATAAGTTCAAGTCAAGTCCAAGTCGTTTGCTTTGAGCTTCAAGTCATTTCAAGTCTTTAAACTAAAGTTCCAAATATAGCTTAGATTTTAGCAATTTATGATTTTTTAAAATAAATTGTACTTATAAAGCCATAATTTATTTATATATGAGTATTTATAGAGTATATAAGAGTTGCAGAAATGCAATGTTTTCCTTTTTAAACATCTTAACAAGTTCTTAGTGTGAATCATTATGGTCAGAATAGAAAAAAAATCTGATTTAAAAGTGCTTCTCAAGTCTTCTCAAGTCACAGGCCTCAAGTCTGAGTCAAGTCCCAAGTCACTGACCTTCAAGTCAAAATGTTAGTCCATTTTATCAATTCAAGTCTCAAGTCCTAAAAATAGTGACTCAAGTCTGACTAGAGTCCAAGTCACAACTTGCAAGACTTGCATCTCTGGTAGAGAATTCTGTCCAAAACGTTTGTCACAATTTTCATATGAGAAACTCTCTGATACTGTGAACATTATTTCAACAAAATAAATGTGTTTTCTTCTATTTTTATTCGTCTAATAAAAATATCTGTGTACATTAGAGGAGTTTTGGCCCAGCGTACGTCATGGTTGCTAGGTAACAGGAAGTACAGTTTGAAACCTATAAATTGGCAAAACTATAAAAAAAAAAAATTAGAACTTCATCTTAAATCTTAAATATAATGATGTGAACTGTGTTTTGGTTAAATGAGTAGTCCAATTTGACATAGATACTTTAATGGCTACTAAATTACATGTAGTTCCAAAAAGTAGGTCTACATCTACAACAAAAATACAATTATTTTATAATAAATGATTTCAGAATATCACCGTTTCTTGTTCTCTTTGACCTAATCTCGTGTCTGTTCTTGTGGAAATTCTGTCTCATCCAAGCTGTAATGTTAAATTATTGTATTTGCTTTGACTGAACACTGAAAAATCATCACAAGTCATCACATCTCATCACATTTCTAACCACTGTATTTCCGTTTTGTGCGCAGGACCACAGCGTTTGGCTTCTTGAACGCCCTGTGTAAGCTTGCAGCTGTTTTGGGCATCAGTATTTTCCAGTCTTTCGTGGGGATCACAAAAGCGGTGCCCATCCTGTTCGCGGCCGGTGCCCTCGCGGCCGGCAGCTTCCTCGCCACAAAGCTACCTGAAACGAGAGGCCAGGTATTGCAGTAAAAACCAACGCAAGCCCCCAAATGCAGGGCCCAGTTACAGCTACTACAGCCTTTGGACATCTGAGAGAGCTGCCCCATCATCGAACCAGAGCAAGAAGACTGCCACCCCCATTGTAAGCCCAGAATCCTTTGAAATGTACATCAATTTTTCGCTTTAGAGACATATTTGAGAAGAGCACACACCTTTGACTGAAATGAAGACTTTATTTTAGCTGCGCAAAAGGCAAATGTTGTGTGCTGCTTGAATAAACTGTTCATTTCTGTGAGAGTTACGGAGAGAAGTGAAGTTTGGGACTGACTCAAGCCACTGGAAGGAAGCACTTGCTTAAGAAAGATACAGATATGAATGCAATGTTATGTTCTTACTTGTCTCTGGTTTTCAGCGCTGCTCTTAGTTGTAAAATTATATGTTGATTATGTAAAATAAGGGTGAGACTATTTGAGACATCTCCTTGACTGTTTACCACTGCTTGAGTTTACAAAATATTATAAGACATTCCACATAGGCTTGATATTAAGAAATCATTTGATAGGCTATACACGGCCTTGTCCCTTTTATGTACATTTCTGATGTTTACATTCACCTAAAACCTCAACGATTACTTTCACAGGATTCTCTGTCCTAAATGGGAACTAGTTTGTGTTTCGTGTGGTCAAATGTCATCTCTCCCTCCTGTTGTCTAACGCTATGGCCGTGTGGTAGAAGTAGGACAGTTGGAGGTGGAGTGGTTGATGTGAGAGTGATTGAATTTGTGTGTTTTGTTGTTGTATGGCTGAAGAAGGTCCTAAATATCCCCATCCATACTCCACAACACTGTATGCATTTGACTATTATAATGGGATAAACTGCAGCCATTATAATGCCAATATAAAGAGAATAGGCTCAACAAAACCACTTAGCGACTGTAGCTTGTTAGCTCCCAGTGAAGCTAACTGAAGCTAAGCCCATAGAGCTAAGCCATCTATGCTAACTAGCCGACATTTTTAACAACGCTTAAAAATGTCTCAAAGTTGTAACAGTTGTAGCTTGTTAGCTCACTCAGGTGTAATTCAATGTTGACATTATGTTAACACAGCCATGCTAGTTAGCAAAAAGTTATTTTGAAACAAATTTGATCATTTTATTTGAAATATTTAAGCCTTTATATTGTGTGAGAGTTTCACCCATAAACTTTTTTTTTAATCTATTCCAAACCACTTCTTAGACTAGGTGTTTTTTTTTATTTTTAATCTCTCATTTATTTTTATAGCTTTGTTGTTTGTTATTGTTTTAAAATGTTAATGGCACATTCCAGAAAATGCCCCTAATTTCTGATTGTAAGCGATTTATCTAAGCACAAATTAAACCAAAATGAAGAGCGCTAAAGAGTCCTCTAAATTTGACTTCTTGTAGCACAAAGTAAAGGAGATTTACTAAAAATAATGAAGGGCTCATTTTCAAACATGCATCACAAAAGCATTGCTCCTTAACGGGCAAATATATTATTGGCCACAGTTGTGTCGTCAGTGCCATCCTTATACATATCACGCCTTAGGTATGATTTCTCCAAAGGTGTACATCGATTTGTGTGCTGACAATCAACGCGTGCGTGTGTGCATCGTGTGTACATCGTGTGTGTGCGTTGTGTGTGCGTTGAGTGTGCGTTGAGTGTGCATGCCGCCTGACGTTCAAATGTCGGATGGGTGACCTAAAGACGTCCTACTGCATGTGTGAGCAACAGTGACTTTGTTTTTTAATTTTACAAACACAATTTAGACGCATTTTGATAGAAGTCACTAGTCTAAGGGCCAGTGGCTTTATTATATATTTTGTTCATCATCTTATGTCTATGAAAGGCGTAGGAAGTTACGTTTTACCTTTTTGATTCTTTATTTGAGCTTAGTTATGTGATGTTTACAAAATACATAGACTACTTTTATGCCACAGTATCAATTTACATTTGGTCTATTGGCAGGAGCAGATTGAGTGTAGCATTATAGCTCAGGATTCCCCCTTGTGGTTGAAAAAGGTACTACTGGTCTACGCTGGTCTAAATTACCTTCTGTAAAATTGGAACAAAATCACTGCTACTGTTTTCCAGCCTCCTCCTCCGTGTCTGTGTGACTTCTCTCCTCACATCGACTGCATGGAGATCTGACCTGTAATTGCTTGTTTGTGCATATACCAAACAAACATATTACGTTTGTCTTTTTTTAATGTCTGAATGCTGTTAGCGTCTAGTGTGTGTGTAAGTCAAAACACTCACATATTTTTGTACTTTTTCTGTTGCCGTATTTCCATCCCTTGTGATGAATAATACGGTTTTGTTCGGGGACCAGATTTTCTCTAGAAGGGAGTACGTAATATATGCAGTGTCAACTCTTATTGTTCTTCACCACAGACTTGGGTGCTTTTTTCCTGATAACATTGTCTTTATTCATTTGTCCCATTTAAAGACAGTGGACCTCAGTCATAGTTGGACACACACACTTTCCTCAGTTGTAAAAAACAGGACAAAATGGACCCAAAACTCACCCCCTTTTTCAACCTTCTGTACTCTGATTGTGACGCATGTTTGTAACTGTATTGTCTGACTTCTTCTTGGACGTCCTGTATGCCAGCTGTTTTTGTCTAAAAAGCAAAGAACTAGTGTTTTTCATTGTTGTATGACAACATAGATATGTTGCTTGCAGTGATTGTTCTTAATCAAAAGTGGGTTTTAAAAATTTGGTGAAAAACTGAGTATGTGTACTGAAAGTTAGTGGTGACTGTACTCCTTGTCAACCCTGGACCCAAATACTATAAATATATATACATATATATATATTTGCTTGAAGTTATATAGGGAGAATTTAAATTGTGCAATTTGTCTCTTGGTGAAGGAGACACTGTACAAAATGTAACATGCATTGGCCAAAAGGGGAGGTTATAGCAATAAAGTCAAACTTTCCCTTTTCCGCTACAAGTGAAAGTAAAATGATTTAAACTTAAAGAGCGCCTGAGTCAAATTAAAGCGCTCGTCTAAAATGTAAAAGTTTACTCTTAAATGTGATTATGTGTAAAGTTTAATTATATATAAATATATGTACTGACTATCAAATGGTAAATGGTTTTCATTTTTCCCCTGTAACAATGACAGTGAAATGAAAAACACCAGCCTGCAGAGGATGTCCTGTGGCACTGCACAGGGGACTGTAGGGGCACCCGTCCCACATAAATCCTTCAAAATAAAAGCTTCAAGTGTGGATCCTTCCTGTCGTTGGACTGAGAGTTTCCGACTGCATTTCCTTTAGTTTGACTGAAACCCGTTTCTTCAAACTCTTAATGTGAGCTCACTTCAGACTCCGTGTACCGTGTGTAGAAACTCTAGATGTATGTGAAGTTTGGCATTTGTGGAACAAAAGATAAAGGAAAAACACTTCCAAAAAAGCTCAATATGGCACAGATCTATTGTGTATCGTCTTTGTGTTTTGTAAATGAAGACTGAACTTCTTGGTACTTTCAGTATTTATAACTTGGATATTGACTTTATTTTAGTGATGCTGAAAAGGTGCTGTATTATTTTATGTGAGTTGTTCATTATGCTGGGGTTTGCACTTGGTGCCATTTATCCAATTCTATGAGAAAAACTATAAACCATATGGAAATAAAATTAAAACTACATCTGCAGTGAATTTGCACTCTCCTCCTTTTCAGGTGTGAAAGTATAGACAAACAACTACATAATCAAATCGTGCATTTATTGCAAATACAGTCACATGGTTGGGAAACATGCATAAAGGGTAATGCCACAGAGGTTCTTCTGGTTTCTGGCCATCTTGATGTAGCCGCCTTCTCCGTATCCTATGCCCCAGCTATTAAGAAAATCAGAAAAGTGCTTAGTCTTAGAAATAGAAATTTTAACACTAAGTTCTTCAGAGTTCTGTTTAACTCAAACCTATTTTTGAGCAGCCAATACTCCTGTCCATCTTCTGTCCCGTAACCCACGACCAGCATCCCATGGTTCACTGAATGCGAGCAGGATTTGTCCTTGTACACTCCTGTAAGCCACAAACGGATTCAAATTAGTTCAGGTCAAAGAATTTATTTCTTTTTATGCACTTACCGTTTTTGTAGAAGACAAACTTGGGTCTTGAAGCATCAATGGCCACAGAAACTGGACCAATGGTGGCAACGGCAACCTTTAAAGCATGTTCATCTCCTTTTGGCAGAAACGTGTATCCAGTGCAGTTGGCAGCTCTATAATCTGGGTTGTACTTGCAGTGACTACGCTAAAATCAAAAAGGGAAAAAATAGAAATTGTTTATTCTCAATCAAATTTAAAGAAATACAAATGTAGGAGCACTGAGCCTCACCTTGCCATGATAGGGGTAAGAATTATCTGCAGCGATGCCTTCGTTCTTTATGACATATTTGAAAGCGTTTGACATGAAGCCGCCCTCACAGCCACGGTTTCCATATTTGTTGGAGCAGTCTAGCAGGTTTTGGGTGCTCAGAGACATCAGGACCCCTGTGGACTTCTTCAGCTGCCCCTCCAGAGCTCCAACTGCACTGAAAGCCCAGCACGAGCCACATGAACCCTGCAGAAGATTTACCAAGGACTAATGAATGAAGGGTCAAAATGTCATCATTGTGCTCACTCTTAAAATGCACTATGTAACTTTGTAGTTGAGGGGTTCACCATCATCTGTAGTGATTAATAGAGATGTAACAATAACCAACATATGATATATCGTCAAAAGTCTCACAATGATATTGAATTACAAGTCCCTTTGCACCGATTCAGTGCAGACTACATAAGGAAATACCCATTATAAGCACTTTTAAATCTTATTTTTGAGAAGAGTGGCATATTCAGTTTTGTTCACCTCCACAAAATATTACAATAGTTGTTACAAAAAATATTAAAATATTTTTACAAGGGGCATACGTTTTCTCCGAGATACAAAAAGTGATTTGTTGATTCTGTGTAGTGTTCGGTAGACACTTGAGTTTTTAAAATCTGCAATAGGTCTATACTGTAAACACAAATATGCATGTGGAAAGTCAGTTGCTCAGACATTATGCAGCCAGCAGCATTTTCTGGTCACACTTTATTCATTACTGCAGTCCTCAGCAAAGATAGGAAACTTAAGAGGAACATGTAGAACTGTACAATATGCAGTCACACATTTTGTTTTTTGGTAGGTCATGTTTGTGGGGTCTCTCATCTAGGTTTTAGAGGCCCAAAATTGGCACTTCACTTATATTAGAAGTGGGCCTATGTGAGGTTTCTTGCCCCCAAATTCCTGTTGACGGGCCTGATGCTACAGACACCTGCTCCAAATTTCTACACAAGGAGACGAAATAAATGAAACTTAAACCTGAAACCTAGACTAAATGATATAGAGTCTGAGTGCTCAAGAAGTAGAAGCACGCACCTGAACTGTTTTGCACAAAGATTACTCTTTCCGATGCAGACAGTTTAACCTTTTAGCCCACTTTTGTACATCTTTAGAATAGGTGTGATGTGTAAATGTGTTTTCACTTACCTGAAATTTTTTGTGAAAAGGTTCTATTGTAGTACGTAGTAGTATGAGCAGTGATAGAAGTAGTATTGTTGTAGTAGTTTTGTAAGTCAAATAGATACTAGAGCAAAAAAAAATACTCAAGTATCTTTAAAAAAAAAAAAAAGATACTTCAAATGTAGTGATTGTGTTAGAATAATTCTTTTATCCCATATTTGCTAAATGCTTGTGTGTTAATCTAGACTATGTGTTAACCATTTATGTACTACAATTCTTTGATTTAGAGTGTACCAATCAATTGTAAGGAATGTGAATAATCTCTCTTGTGTTTAACACCTGTGTGCAGTGGCCTATCGTTCTTGTGAACCCTGAGATGACCTCTCACGTGAAGCCAACCCCCACTGTCACACTTGCAAGAGTTATGATGGTGTCTGTCCATACCAACGGCACCCCCTGATTGTTAATCATGTTTATGTTTTAAGCCTGCGTTGTGTTTTGCTAATCCCCTTCCCTTTGAGAATCATGTGTCTGTAACCAGGGCCCTCTAATGATAATAAAAGGAGGAGAACGGCCTTGGGTCGGCAGAACGTGTGGAGACTGCTGCGCTTGACGCCACTCTCTGCCCGTTCTCCTCATGAGAAAAACTTAATTAATCTCTTGTCTTTCTTCTTGTTTTGAATGTCTAGATAAACCTAACATTTACTTGGTCCTTCGATGCCGGCACCACAAAATACCTGAGGACTCCAGCGGTCGTTAAGAATCCAGAAAAGTCTGTGGCCACAGCCCTCTGCTACGAGGTATATACCCTTTCCGGGCTGGTTCTCTTCTCGCCGGTTGGAGTCTAAAGGTTGACGGGTGAACCGAGGGAGAAAGACAACTGACTGTGAGTAGGCCTTTTGTTAAAAAGCGAGTGACTGGGGGTCATTGCGCGTACAGAAACCCCATAAATCCTAGGCTCTAATAGGTAAAAAGGGCGACGGAGCCCCACTACTAGGTGTAAGTGACAGGCTAGTGAGTAAAAGTCCGTTTAAACAGGACGGCGGAGTCCTCCCGGGTTAAATTCCGTAGATAATGTGTAGGATGCCGGAGTCCTCCCAGGGTTAAATTCCGTTGGCGCCGAGAAAATAAGAAAATCAATAAAAACTTTAAAACCGAAAATAATAAAAACTGAGTGTGAATGGTTGTGTGACTGGAAGATAATAACCACTAGGTTGTTGTCCTCATACCAATCGATTGAGAAAGGAAATAGTGAGTCTTTGTGGATGTAGAGACAAGATTTCTCCACCTTACGGGTTGAAGTGAGAAATACCACAAAGATAATTTGATCACTATCTCAATCAAGAAAAGCTAACCCAGTTCTTAGAGACCTCCCCAGGAGTGATAGGACTGGTCCAAATTCTTCTAATATGGGTAACAAACATTCTACAGGGAGACCTAGAGATAGGCTAAAATGCAAGGATTATAAAGTTCTTGAAAATAATGACAAGGGTAACGTCAAATACTTGGATAAATGGATAACGAAATACAATTTTGAGGGGCGACTTAATGTGTCAGACCTTGAGGCACTGCGCGCACAAATTATAGAAAAAACTAAAAATAATGAAAGGAAGATGCGCAAAAACGGCATTAGAGAGTTAGACAATTGGTTAGACATAGCCAAACTCAGAGAGAGCCGTCTAAAAAGAAAGCAGGAAAATAAAGCAATACTACCAAAAGCAGACGCAATGCTTTTCCAAAACAAAGAAGATTATGAGACAGCTGTTGCTAGTAGACGCCCACCACAACCACAACAACCACCACATGATGTGGCTACCCCAGTGAAGGACAGCCCTTCTGCAAGCGCTGCATTCCCTCCTCCGCCTTATGCTACGGGGGGGCCCGACACTTCAGACAAAATATACCCTGACCTAGAACCGTTTCTATCTATGCAGGCAGGGGTCTCCACTCGCAGCGCGGCGACGACACGATATCAGTGGTCCAAAACAATGGGGGGAGGGTTAGAGCAACACTTTCCCACAGCACCTGCACCAGAGGCCTCCACATCGCAAGGCCAGACAGCGGTCACTAAAACTGACCTCTTCCCTATGATAGCTGTGGCAAACCCTCGAGCAGGGGACGAAAACCCAAGTGAGATTATATTTGTCTACAGAACTTGGACAGCTGAGGATGTAAAGAAGGCCGTAGAAGGCATTACACCTTACAAAGACGATGTAAATCAGTTCTGTATTGACATGGAGGCTCTCAGAGACTCCTATAAATTAAATGGTCATGAGACACAGCAGGCCTGGATGGCTGCGCTGGGCTTCAATTGGAGCCATGTCAGAGGTGACTGGGATCCCTCAGGAACTGATGGGAAATCCCTTAAACATGATGCTCAGGACTTGACTGTCAGAATACACGCCCTGGCAGAGAGAACTAAAACTAGATACAAGAAAATGGCTAATTATGGTGAAATTTCCAGAACTAAACAAAAAGAAGATGAAAAACTTGAGGACTTCAAAATTAGAATGACCAAAGTGTTTAAAACACACTCGGGATTAGAAGAAAGTGATGATGCGCAGGGTCCGTATCAACAACAGCTGAAAAACGCATTACACGCAGGTGTAACTGAAGGTATTAGACAGTGGTTGGATAAACACTTCTATGGAATGGCTAGTTCCACGTTAGACGAGTATGTCAATCATGCTATTCATGCAGAGAAAGTTGTGATAGAGAAGAACAAAAAGAAAGATAAAGAAGTAAAGATGTTCCTCCGGGAGGATGGCTCAATTTATTATCGAGGAGCACAGAATAAAAAAGGCAGAGGGGGTTTCCAACATAGAGGGAGACGTAGACGACGCTATCACAATCAAATTGGCAGTCAGACCCAATATCCTAACACTCAGAGCACAATAGTCTGCTGGTCCTGTGGCGAGTCAGGACATAAGGCTAAGAACTGCAAGAATAACTCGAGGAACACAAATCAGGCTGTGCACGGGGGGGTCCCCAGTGAGTACAAGTTAGTGGATCAAATAGCCTCAGGCTTTGAAAGTTTCATAATTTTGCCCACTATATTTCCAGTAACACCAAATAAGAATTAACTACATCCATTATAATGTTCAAAAACTAGGCAACTACACCCAGGCTGGATTTGAGGCAGTGCATGAGCAGTTGGCAGCAACTTCTCTGATGGCGTTCCAAAATCGTATCGCATTAGATATGCTCCTCGCTGAGAAATCTGTGTGTGAGATTTTTGGTGACCAGTGCTGCACCTTCATCCCTAACAACACTGCATCTGATGGTAGCTTGACTAGGACCATTGAAGGCCTACGGACCCTTAACAAGCGCCTTAAAGAGCAGTCTGGCGTTGACCAGTCCATGTGGGATGACTGGATGGATGTATTTGGAAAATACAAGTCCATTGTGTCCTCTGCGCTGATCTCTGTAGCCATTTTCGCCGGTTTATTGACGTTGTGTGGATGTTGTTGTATTCCTTGCATCCGAGAATTACTTAATAGACTAATCACCACTGCAATTGCCCCACATCCTGACGATAAGGCAATGCAGGCACATTTGTTGGCTGGTGATGATTCATACATTGGGGACTCCTCCTCCTTGGCTCTCTCACATCTATTTGAGCATGACACAGAAAGCTAAACTAAAACTAGACTAAAAATAGCATTACCTCCGAGTGTAAATATATAATTGCTTAACTATGAAATCATAACTGAAAATCGAAAGAAGTAGTTATGAATTGATTCTTTTTTAGCAAATATATGATAAACAGGAGGGAAATGTTAGAATAATTCTTTTATCCCATATTTGCTAAATGCTTGTGTGTTAATCTAGACTATGTGTTAACCATTTATGTACTACAATTCTTTGATTTAGAGTGTACCAATCAATTGTAAGGAATGTGAATAATCTCTCTTGTGTTTAACACCTGTGTGCAGTGGCCTATCGTTCTTGTGAACCCTGAGATGACCTCTCACGTGAAGCCAACCCCCACTGTCACACTTGCAAGAGTTATGATGGTGTCTGTCCATACCAACGGCACCCCCTGATTGTTAATCATGTTTATGTTTAAGCCTGCGTTGTGTTTTGCTAATCCCCTTCCCTTTGAGAATCATGTGTCTGTAACCAGGGCCCTCTAATGATAATAAAAGGAGGAGAACGGCCTTGGGTCGGCAGAACGTGTGGAGACTGCTGCGCTTGACGCCACTCTCTGCCCGTTCTCCTCATGAGAAAAACTTAATCTCTTGTCTTTCTTCTTGTTTTGAATGTCTAGATAAACCTAACAGATTGATAGATTTGTGCCGAATTTTGCTCAACAATAAGATTTTTTTCCCCTAGCTGTTTTTATTTGTATGTCTTTGTTTGCTCAAATTATGACAATTTGAGCAAATTATGTTAAAAAAATAAACCTTCAGCCTTTTCAGCAGGTCTCAAAAATAATTAAAATTAATTTATTACTTTTCAGTTCTGTTAAAAAATGTAGCAGAGTAGAAGTACAGATACCTGCTCTCAAAAGTAGTGAAGTAAAAGTAAAAAGTACAGATACCATTTTTTACTTAATAGGCACACTTTGTAACTTTTTGTTTAGGGGTCTTTCACTTGCTTGTTTCTATGGATACGTCACTGCTCTGCCTGGAATGTTTCACAGTATGACATTAAACAGCTCAAGCTTACATTTATTCAATTACAGGTGGTTTTATAGCTCAAAAAAAAAGGCATTCTGACTGAGCAGGGTCACCTCTTCACAGATTTGAAAGCATTTTACGAACCCTCCAGCAGAAAAGTTACACAATGAACCTTTAGGTTAGTACAGTACTTCTACTTATATTCCACCACTGTTAATGAGTTAAGAGTTTCCTGACCTGTGTTTTCACCTCAGTCACCAGGCCCTTCTTTCTCCAGTCCACAGAAGCCGGCAGAGACACATTCACCACATTGAGATTGAAAGGACCTCGCTCCAAATCTGCAGGCACTTTCAGACCAGTCAGGTTACCGATCTCCTCCATCGTCTATGAAACAGAACGTAGCTTTAAGCATCGCAGGGATTCACCCGACCAGATAACAATTACAGCAATGCCCCACTCACCAGATCTCCAAAGTGATTAATGCCCATGTCAAATGAGTGTAGACCCAGAGAAGTCTCCAAATTATGCACATTAATCAACTCCAAATTGTTCTCCCATATTCTCCGGCGGCCAAGCTCCTCGATCTGATAAGCAAAAGAAATCCTCACAGCTCGTCCTGAATTTAAATTTGTTTTTAACTAATGCATTTCAACACAAAATGTCTACCTTGTGAGAGTAGGTCTTGCTGTGCTTCTTCTTCCACAGGTTCCAATGTTTGTCAAGATTCTCACTGACAATGGCTAATGAAAAACCACACCACATGAATATAAAAGAAAGCAGGATTTGAAACATTTTGAAGTAAAAATGTGGTGAATATTCTGAGCGGATGAATGAGCTGTTTCAAGCCGAGGTTCATGGAGATCTTCTGATTTCTTGGCACACCCCTCAGCAGCTGAACTCAATGGGGGTAATGAGTGAAAAGGAGGAGCAAAAGCAACAAACTTGGAGGAAAGATTTATATTTTTATTCAGGAATCATTATTATAAATTATAAGTTTGAGGAAGAAGAGAAGAGAAAGAAGAGAAAGTAATTTGAATATTTTTAACAACATAACTCAACATAAAAACTTCTACACTCAACTCAAATCAACTTTATTTCTAGAGCACTTTAAAAACAACACAATCAAACAAATTGCTGTACACAAATTAGATAGGACACATAACAAACAGTGACAAATATAATGATGAATGGTAAATAACCAACCCTCAAACTGACTTACACTCCTAAATAAGATAAATTATTATTTTGTGTGCTGTCTGACCATCACTTCTTCAATAAAACGTCAAAATACATTTAAAAAATGCATACAGTTAATAATTTCAGAATACTTTTTTGTCTTTTTTTACAACATAGTAAAATTTAATAGAGAAAAATCATATTGTTTCAGCATTATGAGCACAGAAAGCGCATTTTAACGTTGCAAACTCATCTTTAAAGGGGCATTGTGTCACTTTTTTGTTTTGGATATGTCATTGCTCTGCCTGGAATGTTCCTCAATATGACATTTTACATTTTTTCAATTACAGGTGGTTTTATAGCTCCAAAATCCCTAGAAAAACAACCATTCTGACTGTGAATGTGGTCGCCTCTCCACAGATCTGACCTGTAACTAGAGCTATGTTTATATGATGACGGTCTGAACAGAAGATGCAAAAGTGGCGTTGCGTCTTCAGTTTTTATTCTGTGTTTAGATGAGCGTTTTCAGGAGGAAATCTGTGTGCCTACGGTGATGCAAAAATGTGTGGAATTCGATACAGTATGCATGCCAGGCAGCTAGGTAGTGACACTAGGTGGTGATGTATGTGGCGTAAACGTGTACTCGATGTGAGCAGATCTGACCAGAGTTTTGCATCTTGGGCAGTGTAGATGAAAACGCTACAGCGGAGCATATTCAACTTTTCCGCTCTAGAGGGTGGTTTCAGATTTTTGCATTTTAAAGCTCCAAATACGCTGTAACCATCTAAACCCTAGACACTTCCGATAAAATATTTTGATCTTTTTACTCGCAAGCGTTCTCATGTAAACAGGCCCTTGGTCTAGTTGATGTCCATGAAGCTAGAAAGGTTTAATGCCATACTGTGAAATATTCCAGACAAAGCAATAACATCGAAATAGAGAAAAGCATTTGACAGATCCTCAACTAGAAAAGTTACACAATGCACTTTTAAAAACACACATAAAACATGCATAAAGCATAAGAATGTATACATGAATCCTTGTCAAAAAATATTTAAGATTTTAATTATCACTGATGACTTAAATTGTAGGATAGACAGCAAAGGTTGCGATGCCACATGCATTTTTCTTATTACGGGCCATGCGGATGAATCCTCCTTCGCCCCATGTGGCTCCCCAGCTGAAAATACAAAGTAATTTTATACATAAACAAACATTTATTCATAGCATTATTTATTCATTCAGTCCTACCTGTTTTTGACCAGCCAGTAGTCTTCTCCCTTCTCTGTGCCGTAGCCAACAACAAGAACTGCGTGGTTTATTGCGTTGGGGTTGCATTTGGGATCACTGTACACGCCTGAAAGAGAAGCAATTTAGTTTGTCCATTAGTTTCATATTAGTGAATCCATTACAATCTCATATCCAACTATCAGGCATTCCATTACAGCCACTGACAAAGAGTGAAGCAGATGGCTTCTTTAAGCAGGGGCGGTTTTGGATGGAGGAGCTATGAGGGTGCACATTTAGAGCCTAATTTAGAGCCTTAATGGATGTGAGCGCAACTTCTACCATATTTGCTTTGCTGTTTTAAACAAGTTTAAATTTAGTTAGTAACCACTGTAGTGATTTATAAAACTTAATAAGCTTAATTTCTTTTTGTTGCCATCTAATAGTAGTATGATTCATCGGCCAGAAAACCATCTGATCTTGCAGCATTAGGATTTGTTTGCTCGATGGTAGGTGGGTACTTTTTTATTTAACCAATCGCTGCTATTTGGTCATGACGTAGGTAATGCGCCGCTAACGGGGTTAACTGGTATATTAAGCTTTTCCCAAAAAGGAAGACGGGCAATAACGTGTTTCACCTTGATAAAATTCACCAAACATTCTCTTTGTTCAGGCTTTAAATCCTCAATCTTGGGAATCGTTGCCAACACAGAATGTATGGCTCTTTGCTGATTGGCTGGTGCCCGGACTCCCTATTCCGGGGTTCCTGCAAACCGTCTAGTGTATTCCGAATCCTGACCTTTTCGCTGGAGAGAAATGAAACTGAGTGGAGGCACTAGGTGGCACCAGCCTGACTAATCTAATAGTAGAATAGTAGAATAGAATCTAATAGTAGTAGTAGAAAAGTAGAAAACCTAGTGCCTCCACTCAATTTCATTCCCGTTAGCAGCGCATTATATACGTCACGACCAAATAGCAGCGATTGATTAAATAAAAAAAGTACCCGCCTACCGTCAAGCGAATGAATCCTAATGCTGCGAGGTCAGACGGTTTCCATGAAGTGAAACCAGCTGATGAATCAGGCTAAAATGTCCTATGAAAATGGGGGAAAAAATCTATGGGGGAGCTATGCAGGCCTGCTTTTTAGCCTGAAGCAAGAAGCCACACATGGGCCCCCCGCTCATATAAACTGATATGAAGAGGGTCAAATTCTGGGCCCCTAAAACCCTGGAGCCCGGAACAAGAGACCCCTTTGTGCCCTCCTGTCTACTGCCCTGGAACTATGAATGTGCACTGGACCCTCTTGGCATTGTCCCTGTCTTTAGGTGATTGAAATGTACACTATAATGCAGCAAAACAACACCATTTTTCACCTCAAAGTTGGTGTGAAGGGTAAAATGCAGTATTATTGTGAGTTTTAGTCAGTGTTTGTCAAGAATCATAACTTAAACATGTGATAGCTGAACAATTGGACATCTTGCAGTTCTAGTTTCTAGTGCAGTGTCTAAAAAGTGAAATACATTTTGCATTATTTATTTATGTACAGTATTTAAGTCTTGGTTCTGGCTGTAGAGTTTATTAGATGGGCCAGGGCCAAGCATGAATGGAGGAAAAGAAATATTCGGTACATTTTCAGAGTCTCACGATGCTTAAGCTGACACACACCCTAGGCTATTGTGCAGCACTGGAACAATAATATAATGATGATAATACTGTATAATAATGTCAATGTTTTGCCCTTTTGCTGTGTATCTAACTTTACTGTACTGAACTCTCCACATCCAAGAAACTGTGGATACATTTATTTAGAACTGCTTTTAATGTCTAACCTTACTTTAAAATCCTGCCTATATTTTGTCCCATTACCTAATTTTTGAATATGTACTTTTGTTTTGTTTTCTTTGTACAGCATCTTTGAGTGTTTTATTAAAGAACTACATAAATAAAATGCAGTATTATTATTGTTATACTGATCTACCTCCTCTGTACAGATGAAAAGACGGGAGCATTGCGTTCACAGCCACTGCCACTGGCCCCACATTGGCCACCACGGACGCCAACATCTTCTCATCTCCTCGAGGAAGGATGTGAAAGTTGGAGCAGTGTCCGGCTTTTCCTTTCACGGAATAACGACAGAGCCCATTCTGAAAAATACAGATGGATTAGATACAGTTTCAAGGTAAACGTGTTGTGAATTCATAAGGCGATCCATGAATTATGTATGTTCAAGCGTGAATATCAGCAGAGTGAAGGCCAGATACAGACAGTGTAAACTATTAATATGTATTTCACACATTTTAGACAAAGAAGGAACTGACAGACGAGTGGATGCTTCTTTGTCATCCGCCCGAGAGCTGTTTTGTTCCTCTTTGCATTTTTCACACCTGTGTTTGAGAAAATTAACTCCTACTTTTATTTAACATTCACATTTTTATTTTACTTTTACGCCACTTCTACAATATACAAAGAGCTGGGTGAGCAAATATAATCATTTAAATATTTTAAAGATAGATCTACTAATTAAATGTGCAGTATGTAATTTTTCTGGCATGTTCCACAGTACAGCTGGCATTAAAGGTCGCTATCTCCATGGAGACAAGCAGATGGCGCCAACAAGCCGAGTAACAGGTGATTTGTGGTGAGGTGATCCCATTCAAAGTAAAAATGTGTAATTTTAAAGGAACTGATAAGCTGTAATTTAAGAAATACAACACAAATCTGGCATAATGCCATATTGTGCACCATTTCAACACATCCAATATAAACGTATCCAGTATATAACCAGGAAAATACAGATGAATGAGTGCGTATATGTGCGCTTTAGTATCTTTGAGTATTTGAGTATTTTTTGAGTATCCTGGTTAAGTAAGTGTCCATGTAAACTCAGTATCCTGGTTTCAGTATCATGGATCCTGATGAGAAACCAGAATACTCTCTTTGGGTTTTCCTGAGAGTGCACTGCAAAAAAGCTTGGCCCAAAATTTAAGATAAACACTTAAATCTATCAGAAAATGACTTAAAAGTAATGAAATTATCTGGCCATGCAGCAAGATAATTTTACTTGACAAGTTCTCTTAAAATAAACTACTTCTAGATTAGAATTAATACAATTTAGAGCTAGTAAGTAGATAATAAAGCTGAAAACAAGATGATTAACCGGATATAAGTTTTAAAATCTTGACAAATTTGCAGTGTGGCATGCAAACGGCAGATGCAGTATCGTGATTTCTCAAAACTGGAGCTGTACTGAGCATGTGAACTAAAATAACAGATATGATAGGAGCAGTTACTTTCCAATAATGACTCAAACTCCTACCATGACTTTTTAAGTAATAATATTTTATACTTTTTAACAGTTACGGTAATACAACCACCTTTTAACACCAGGCTCACTTCTGTGGCTGTTTGTAGTTGTTTTTGAACTAAACTGACTTGCCTTTTACTGAAGTTGTGACAGTGCTCCAGTCTTATGTTCTTTTTGTTATGTTTTTTTTTTTTTTCCTTATGTTTTTTTGTTGATAGAAACTGGTTAAAATGCCTAAAGTTATCAAAGTTGCTTCATGTTTAGCTCCTTGCCATAAGTATCTAAATATCCAGGGTAATGGTTCATGTATTGGTGGATTTCAGATGACGTCATAACATTGAATAGGCCTATATTATTTCATACAGATGGGCAGAAACTAAAGTTAGTATACCGTAGTTGGAAAGCAGATTTTAGTTGTAATACAGTGAGATCAGGTTAGATTAAATCAGGGTTGCTTTATTCGTATCCGTAGGTAAATTTGTTTTGCAGATTTGAGAGTCTGGTCCCACATTTCACATTTCATTCAACCACTTTATATAAAATAAACACGTATAAAAACACAATTACAAAATCATTAAGTATTACAGTGCTCCAGTGCAGAATGGCTTTGTTCCATAAATAATTAATTAAATTCATCCATCAAGCTTGGCTAAGATAAAAAACATCAGATTTTTTTTCAAGACAATGTACTAAAATTGATAAATAGATTACAATTTATTCAAGTTCAAGTTCACACTACCAATCAAAAGTTTTAGAACACCACCCTTTTTTTTATTGTTTACTGTTTACTTTTGACCAAAACATATTCTAAACTTTTGATTGATGAAAGTGTCCACCTTTGGCAGATATAACAGTTGAACACACTAAAGGCTCATTCATTTTACAAAATAAATCAAATATTCTTCAAAACGTTCTTCCCAAGTCTGTTGCAGAAGTTTCCATAAATGTGTGGCATTTGTAGGTTGCTTGGATTCCACTCTTCTGTCCAGTTCAGCCCAAACCAGCTCAGTGGGGTTTAAGTCTGGAGACTGTGCTGGACACTTCATGTTTTCAAGTTTACCATCTTGTACTTTTTTTCCTGAAGTAGTTTTGGCAGAGCTTGGAGTTGTGGTTTTTATCTTTTATCTTTTTTAACCTCTGTTCAGTACTTACCTTTATTACCATTTCAAGTTATTCACTGGACTTGCACAACTTGAATTGCAATAAATAATTGGAAAATTTGGACCGGTAGTGTAGTTTTTGGGTCTAGCCACTAATTAACATGATCAAGTTCAACATTTCTGAATTTATTTTGGGGATATTTCAGAGTGATACTTTACCATGAAATATTGGAACACTAACCTGATCATTTCTATTATTGGCTAGAAAAATTGCAACTGAACAATTTTAGCTACCTCCATCTGTATTAAATAATATTGGCCTGTAAAATGCAGTGATGCCATCTGAAATGAGCGTCCTGGTTTCTCTGAGCGGATGTAAACACCATATTCAAGACTAATAAAATGTGGTGAGCCTGACCTGGTGCTCATAGGGGTAGAACTGCTCCGAGTCGATGCCTTGGTTGCGAATGATGTAACTGTAGGATTTGGAGATGTAGCCTCCTTTACAGCCGTGGTTCCCGTCCATCACGCTGCAGTCCACCAGGTTCTGAGGACTGAGCTGCACCAGAACTCCCGTCTGTTTGCTCATCTGCCCCTCCAGAGCCCCCAGAGCACTGAAGGCCCAGCAAGACCCACACAAGCCCTGAAAAACTATCACTTTTAAAAACCATTGGACAATCATAGGCATAAGGTCAGACATAAATATAACGAATTCTAATACAAATTGTTAAAGGTGCATTGTGTTACTTTTTGGTTGGGGGTCTGTCACCTGCTTGTTTCTATGGATAATATGTTATTAATCTGCCTAGAATGGTCCACAGTATGACTTTAAACAGTTCTATCTTACATTTATTCAATTACAGGTGGTTTTATAGTTCAAAAATACCTAGAAAAACAGGGATTTTGACTGTGAGCGGGGTCACTTCTCCACAAATCTGACCTGTAATTTGATCTGGTTTGGTCTCCATGAAGATAGAAAGGATTAATGCCATACTGTGAAACATTCTAGACAAAGCAATAACATCCTCATGCAGAATCTGACGGATCTGCCACCAGAAAAGTGCAGCTTTTTTTTTTTTTTTTTTTGCAATGTTTAAAATTTTACTTCCAGGGATCAACTAGGAATTTTTCTGGTCAAATGCTTTTCTTCATAGTGTTTCCATCTTCATGGAGATCAAACTAGACCAAGTTACAGGTCAGATCTGTGGAGAGGCAACCCCACTCACACTTAGAATGTATGTTTTGCAGCGTATTTTCAAGCTATAAAACCACCTGTAATTGAATAAATGTAAGATAGAGTTGTTTAATGTCATACTGTGGGACATTCCAGACAGAGAAACAAGCAGGTGATGGACCCTTAACCAAAAAGTTACACAGTGCACCTTTAAAAATTACAAAACTGTGCAAAGAAGTTGAAGTTTTTAGTAATGACTTTAACTGTGTTTTAGTTAAATGAGCAGTCCAACACTTGTGACATGTGTCTTTGTGTCTTACTTGGTTTTGCACAGAGCTGACGAGGCCGTGCTCCCTCCAGTCCACAGTCTGGGGGATGTTCAGATCAGACAGACTCTTCAAAGTGACATTTCTCACTGTGTTCAGCTTCTCCGGCTTCAGTCCGTTTAACTTGTGGTTCACTTCGTCAGCCGTCTGATGAGAAGAGGAGATAGAGTCAGTGTGTGTTACAATGAGTCAGTGGTGGAAAGTTACAAAGTATAAAACCAAATGTACAATACGGAAATACAATTTTGAGGTATCTGTGTTTTACTTACATTTTACAGTGGATACTTTTTACTTTTACTTCACTACCTTTGAGAACATGTATCTGTACTTTCTACTCCTCTACATTTTTGAACTGGACTGAAAAGTAAAAAGTACTTTGAAATGGCTGAGACTTTTTAAATTTCAATCCCAACTTTGAGCAAAATGAGCAAAACAAAACAAACAAAAGAGACAAAAACAGCTAGAAAAATTAAGAAATCATTGGAATCACTTGAAATGAGCAAAATTCTTAATCACAATCACTACATTTTCATCATTTCTTTTCTGTAATTGTCCTGAAAATCTTTTTTTTTTTGTTTTTTTTTTAAACAAGCACTTTTACTTTTCATGTGATACTTTTACTTTTACTTGAGTAACTTTTTGCCCCTGTATCTTTAATTTTACTTAAAGGTGCATTGTGGAACTTTTCTGGCCGAGGGTCAGTCAAACTTCTCTTCATGGAGACCAAACTAGACCAAGATACAGGTCAGATCTGTGGAGAGGCAATCCTGCTTTTTTTTTTTTTTTTTTTTTTTTTAGGTATTTTTGAGCTATAAAACCACCTGTAATTGAATAAATAAGGTAGAGCTGTTTAATGTCATACTGTGGAACATTTTAGGCAGAGCAATGACATATCCATAGAAATAAGCAGGTGTCGGACCCCCAACCAAAAAGTTACACAGTGCACCTTTAAGAAACAAGACTGAGTACAGTAAGAAGAGTCATAAAGAGCATCCTCTTCCCACACGCCTCAGCTGTTTGACACCAGTCAGCTTCATAAAACAGCCACTACTTCCTGTGTGTGTCTTATCAACACTCAACTTCCCCTTTGAAGCTCATTCTGGGAGAGTCAACAGGAAGCAAGAGGCCCAGACCACATCATGAGACACGTTCTGTCCTAACTCTTTGTATTACATCTGTACAGGCTCATCGACAGAAATCTGGGGGCCCAGGGCAAGAAGCCTCACATGAGCCTCCCTTTAATATAAATGAATAGAAAGAGGGTCCAGATACTGAAAAATCGGCTTCCAAATATCAGTTCAGTCGATATCCTGGTTGGACATATAACTTAATAAGACTTTTTGCGGTTATCATCATCAGAAAGTCTTGTAATGTTTGAGTTTTTATTTATACAAAATTGTTCTGTAGTTACTTGAGAAATAAATAACAGCGACATAACACATTTGGCTCACCTCTGGCAAATTGCTTCTTCATTAGTGTAAAAATTATCATTTATATTTACAGGTATTCTACCAAATTAAGTCAAAATTAGAGAATCATACACACTGTAATACACACAAGGAAATAAATACTGTTTTTATTCTCCACAGTGGTATCAGTTAATATCAGGTATCAGCAGATTCTTAAAGCTGTAGCATCAAAATCGGTATCAGAACTGAAAAAGCTGGACTTGTGCATCCCTAGTGTTGCATTGGATTCTTTAAGTCACTCAAAAAATATTTTTGGTCAATGCTCCTCCACCTTAGCCAGGCTGGCGCCACCTAGTGCCTCCGCTCAATTTCATTTCTCTCCAGCGACTTGGTCAGAAATCAGAATACACTAGACGGTTTGCAAGAACCCTGGAAGTTGAAGACCAGACACCAGCCAATCAGCCAAGAGCTGTGAAACCATGACGTCAAACTCAAGCGCCTGTCTCGGTCCCTCTTGCGGTACAGCACAACAGTAAACAAAGCGGTCGAGATGGATGTAGATGAAGCCAAACATTCTGTGTTGGCAACATCACAGAGATCGAGGATTTAAAGCCAGAACAAAGACAATATTTGGTGAATTTATCAAAGGGAAAGACGTTATTGCCCTTCTTCCTACGTGATTTGGCGCATTACATATGTCACCACCAAATAGCAGCAATTGGTTAAATAAAAAAGCACCCGTCTACCGTCGAGCGAATGAATCCTAATGCTGTGAGGTCAGACGGTTTCCATGAAGTGAAACCGGCTGATGAATCAGGCTACCTTCACCTGCCTGTCTCCATGGAAATGATTTTACGTTGCTATTCCACTGTATGGCATTAAAATATCTCTATCTCCACAGAAACAAACAAGTGATGAAACCAGCCCAAGTTAAAGGTCAGATGTGGCGAAGCAATGCTGCTCACAGTAGGAATAATCTTTTAAGGTATTCCTTTTGTAATTGAATAAATGCAAGAGAGATGTATTTAATGCCATACTGTGGAACATTCTATGCAAAGCAATAACATCTCTAGAAGAGTTAGAAAATTCATTGCTATATTACACCTGTCTAGTTAAAGATGCATTGTGTAACTTTTCTGGCGGAGAGTCTGTAAAATGCTTGCCTCCATGGAGATGTTATTCTTTATCTGGAATGTTTCACAGTATGGTATTAAACGTTTCTGTCTTCATGGAAACCAAACCAGACCAAATTACAGGTCAGATCTGTGGAGAGGCAATCCCACTCAGAGCCATAAAACATGTTTTTTGGGGGAGGGTCTTTTTTGGTATTTTTTGGTATTTTTGAGCTATAAAACCACCTGCAATTTTATATATCTGTAGAAACAAGCAGGTGACGGACCCCCAACCAGAAAGTTACACAGTGCACCTTTAAGTACAGGACTTGAAATTACAGAACTTTCTTCACTTGTTATTGTTTTTACAAATTCATTAAATGACCAAAAGATGACCCTCTCTGTATTGGCGTGGTTAATCAGATTGACAGAGAGGGATTAGAGACACTCCTATACATTGGGTTTAGATTAAGGATTTGGCTGCAGTGAGCCCCAGATTAACCCTGTCTACTGATTAAAAGAGTTGATTATTGGCAAGAAACATCAAACACAGTGAGTCCTTGGAGACAGACAGAATAATAATGAAGAAAATAAACATGCATACAGTGTCAGGCAGCGGTCTCACTACAGGAAAAGCTCATGACGCTTGCAAAAATACAAAAATTGTGCTAAAATATTTTATAATGCCTTAAAGGTGCATTGTGTAACTTTTTTGGTGAAGGGTCCGTCAAATGCTTTTCTCCATGGAGATGTTATTGCTTTGTCTGGAATATTTCAAAGTACGGTATTAAACTTTTCTATCTTCATGGAGACCAAACCAGACCAAGTTACAGGTCAGATCTGTGGAGAGGCGGCCTTGCTCAGTCAGAATGCTTGTTTTTCTGGGTATTTTTGGGCTATAAAACCACCTGTAATTGAATAAATGTAAAGTAGAGCTGTTTAATGTCACACTGTGGAACATATCGATAGAAAAAAGCAGGTGACGGACCGCCCACCAGAAAGTTGCACAGTGCACCTTTAACACAGATATCTGACTGTGAAGATCTATTTAGACATTTTACTGTCCCTGAGTTAAAATACAGTTTGTATCTTATATTCTAACCTAATAGTTTACAAAAGGAACAACTTGGGATGTTTTCTTGAAAATATATTGCTCTATAGTTGCATGATTCAGGGAGGAGTTTACATTTGAAAATAATGTCTTTTTGTGTCTCAGATTAAATCTAATATTAATTTGCTTTATAATTGTGCTGTATAGTGTTTCATAGATGGATGTCAGTGCTAAATAATCATATAATTAACCAGTGGTGGACGGTAACAAAGTAGAAGTAGTAAAGTGCTGTACTTAAATACATTTTTTAGGTATCTGTACTTGACTTAGGTACATTTTACAGTGGGTACTTTTTATTTTTACTTCACTACATTTGAGAGCAGGTATCTGCACTTTCTACTCCACTACATTTTTGAACTGGACTGAAAAGTAAAAGTATTTTTCATTATTGTGTGAGACCTGAAAAGGCTTATGATTTATTTTTAACACATAATTTGAGCAAACAAAAATAGACAAGTAAAAAAAAAACTAGTTAAAACAACTAGCAAAAAGCGTTTGATTCAATTGTTTCTTTGTTTCTGTTGAAAAACGTTCAGCACAAGTCTGTATCAAAATCAATATTTCTGAAGCCTTATAAGACCTCAAAATCTGTGTGAAATACTTTTACTTTTTATTCTTTAAGTACATTTTTAAACAGGTACTTGAGTAGATTTTTTCATGGGATACTTTTACTTGAGTATTTTTCAGTTCCGCTATTTGTACTTTTACTTAAGTAACAAAATTGAGTACTTATTCCACCACTGGATTTAACATAGAATAACAGAATAACATATAATTAGACTTTTTAAATGGTTGGTTGGGAGTCATACCATATCAGCCAAGTGGTTGAGTCCCAGAGTGAAGCTGTGTTTCCCTGAAGCCGCTTCCTGGTTGTGCTTCCAAATCCGCACCACGTTCTTCTCCCATAATGCTCTCCTGAAGCTCACCTCAGTCTGAAAAACAAAAATATATTGTAAAGATATATTTGAGCTGTATAAAGCTACACGTATTTCTCCTTATACCTTGTTGTCATAGACTTTCTCATGTTTGATCCTCCACTCTTTCCAGGCTTGGTTTAAGGTAAATGAAGAGTGGCAGCCGACAGGGACGGCCACAAACACCAAAAAATAGAAAACAATCATCCTGTAAAGATACAAAAAAAAAAAAAAAAACATTTAGCTGCGTTTATAGGTGCACTGTGTAGGGTCCGACAAATGCTTTTCTCCGTGAAAATGCTATTACTTTGTCTGGAATGTTTCACAGTATGTTATTAAACCTTTCTATCTTCGTGGAGACTAAACTAAACCAAATTACAAATCAGAACTGTGGAGAGGCGACCCTGTTCACAGTCAGAATGCCTGTTTTTCTAGGTATTTTTGAGATATAAAACCACCTGTAAATGAATAAATGTAAAGTAGAGCTGTTTAATTTCACACTAATTCCAGGCAGAGAAATGACATATCCATAGAAAAAAGCAGGTGACAGACACTTTTCACAATGCACCTTTAAATATATTTTAGAATTCAGGTCAAACTGTGCACGTATCTACAGCTGTGGGCAGAATACGACTTCAATTCATAAAATCGATCACACATTTTTGACCTACTCTCAAATATAGGTCAAACTTTAACTTCCTCGAACATCAAATAAACTCAAAACAGTACTCACTATTCATTATTCACTGTTCACTTTTGCACAAAATTATAAAAACACATAAAACAATAACTTTAATGTAGTTAAGTTATCTAAAACAATATACATTTAAAAGTGCACTATGTAACTTTTTGGTTGGAGTTCTGTCACCTGGTTGTTTCAATGGATATGTCCTTTGTCTACTGGGAATGTTCCACAGTATGACATTAAACAGGCTAAACTTTACATTTATTAAATTACAGGTGGTTTTATAGCTCAAAAATACCTAGAAAAACAAACATACTCTCCACAGATCTGTCCTGTAACTTAGTCTGTTTTAGTTTCCCTGAAGATAGAAATGTTTAATGCCATACTGTGAAACATTCCAGATCAAAATAATAACATCTCCATGAAGAAAAGCATCTGACGGACCCTTCACCAGAAAAAGTTACAGTGCATCTTTAAATTTTGAGCACTCACTTCATCCTTATAATATATATTTAAATACCAGTGTCTTTATGAAAACTACAAAGCTTCTTAGCTGTTACAAACTCAGTCTTACCTGGTTCATGTCCTGTAGCAGAGTGTCCGTGAGCTCCTGCTGCAAAGGTCCTTCACTGCAAAAAGAGGAAGTCATGTTTTTCAGTGTTGAGATGCTGCGTTCAAGTTTGTCACAAGAAACTAATTTGCAGGCTGCCCTCTATAGCCCGAAATAGTCTTGCAGCAGTCCCACTCAAACATAAGTGACATGAGCACAACTGTGAACGCTAGGGACAACTTTTAATATCATACCTTAAAATATAGTGTAATTTTTTTTTTGTTTCTGTGTATGTGCTCATGTGGGTAGAAGGTGTAGCCTGTGGTATTTCTGATGCCATTTCCAGGTATGTCTACAAAAGGGTTTCCTGTTGCTGCAAAGTTGTGTTGAAAAATATTTGTCAAGACTTTCTGTAGTAACAGCATTGCAAACATATGAACCGTCCACTAAAAGACATTCTGGTTGAAACTGTAGAAAGTTACAATAGAAAAGATTTAAGTAAATTAGAGGCAAAGAGCACAAATTAATTGATTTGCTTTTTGAGTAGCTTTGAATTGAATTTATTTGTTTGGAGGATAAGCCCCTTGATGTGTCACCATCATCTCAGCTTTGTGGCTGCCTGTCTCACACATCGAGCAGTTTTTGAAACTTTTAGTTTTTTGAGCTCAGTTTTTAACATCACATCATGGACTTTTCACCAACTAAGAAATGCAGCATCTACAGTTCAAAGGAAACAAGTAAGGGACTGTTGGATTTTGTGAAATGAACTGTTTGTTTTTCTAGTATCCATGGAGACTGTACAAGAGGCCAGATAAGGAGGCTGCTGTGATGCTGCAGGACGAAGAGAAGAGACACTTTTGGCTCTTTCTCTCCTCCAACTGCCCTGACACAGACCTGCTGACCCTCCCTGACCAGTCCTTCTGTTAAACTGCACTCAGACCTTTAAGTGCAGTGTGTAAATGTTGCAGCAAGATTAACTGCAACAGTTTGCTGCAGTAAAACTTGAATTTCCCTCAAGATGAATAAAGTATCTCTCTCTCGCTCTGTCTCTGATTAACTTAATTAAAGAGGAGGGCACACTTGAGCTCTTCTAATGGTGCAAATTGATCACATGCAAAACAATGTTTTTTGTGATGCAATTAATTACAGTCTCAGCAAAATAATAATCAAAGTGTACTAGCGTGATAAAATAACATTGTTTTGATCATCGTGTGAATGAAATGACAAAGACCCATTGCATGAATTCATGAGTTTGTGAGTTAAACATATGTGAATGAAACAACACACAACTAAAACTTGTTTCAAAATGAAAACTATTACTGATTGGCCTGCATTTTATGACATATATTTAGACTTATGCAAGCTTTATTGATTCACAAGGGAAATTATTTGGACATAGTACCTCACACATCGCAATATAATATAATACATATAATAATAAATTCTAAATAAGTAGAAGAAACAGCAAGAGACTGGTGTCAAAATGGCATAATTATGTAAATGTATATGTGCAAGTAAAAATAAAATGTAGAAATATAGTAATAAAAATATATCATAAGGAAAACAGTGCAAAAACAATATGATGACTGACAGGACATAGGGTTATCCGTTACATAAGCACAATAGCAGAGTCTTGTAGTGAGTATTTTGGGAGCACAGTGGATGTCCCTGAGTGGAGGTGCCTCTGACGACAATACGTTCATGAACATAGAAGGCGTGTTATGTAAGTGCTTTGGCAGGCCCTGGTTTTGGCTGTTTTGTGGGTGCTCTTTTCTCTTCCTGCGCCCGGGTTTGGCCTGAGATCTGCTGATGGAGGCAGGTTCAGAGGAGCAGATGGTGAGATCCTGAATCAGCGTGACCTTTCCCATGTGGGGAGCACTTCATATGATGTCGTCACGTTTTTCTGACACATGTGGTTATTAAAGGTGTACTGTGTAACTTTTCTATTGGTGGTTTTCAGATTCTAGAAAGTGATAATGCCATATTCTCAGATGAGGGGCAAAAACCAGATTTCCCAATTGATCATGTTGTATTTATCATGAAATATCCAAAAGGTAAATGCACAAATGTTGAAACTGGTCATTTCTATTAATGACTAAACCCAAGAACTGAAATCTGAATTTTAACAATATTTATTTTAGCTGACCCCCATCTGTATTAAAGGTGCACTGTGTAACTTTTTGGATGGGGTCTATCACCTGCTTGTTTCTATGGATATATCATTGCTCTGCCTGGCTGTGAGCGGGTCACCTTGCCATAGATCTGACCTGTAACCTGGTCTGGTTTGGTCTGCATGAAAACAAAAGTTTTAATGCAATACTGTGAAACATTCCAGACAAAACAATAACATTTCCATGGAGAAAAACATTCAATGGGCCCTTCACCATAATTGTTACACAATGCACGAATACAGTAAGGTTTAAACTTAATTTATCTAATTTATCATTTATTCAACTACAAGTGTTTTTGGCAAAAGGAGAAATTCAATTTGTCAACTGAACAAAAGTTTATTTGGCTGAATATGTTTGGCAGCTCATCCAAGCTGCTTCTTCAGTTCTGGTCGGAATGCTGATGAATTCAGGCAGATATAAGGAAGTATCCACCAGCATTCTGACTAAAACTGAAGAAGCAACTTGAATGAGCTGCGAAATATATTCTCCTTTTGCCTTGGATTCTATCTGGACGACTGAGGGATTTTACACACATAAAAGTGTTTTTTTTGCCAAAAATACTTGTTTTGTTGGAGTTGCGTGCCTTTCTTATTTTATGGAACAATCCAGACAGAAAATAAAATAGAACAGATGGTTTTGAACCCTCCAAATACAAACTTATACTGTCCTTTAAAGGGCCCATGTTACACTATTTTCAATCTATGTTGTATTGTTGTTTTGTCATCACAAACATACCTGGTGTTGTATTTTGTTTAATTCACTCAGAGCATTTTGGGCTTTAGGAGATATAGACAGACTATATATAGAGGGTTACTCAGACGTGTGAATGAGACAATTCACAACTCAAGGTATCTTTTTCAGGAGGAAGTTACATTATAACATGGCTTGAAGCTCACAAGAGTCAATTTTGCGCAATATAGAACCTTTAAAATCAGGATGACAAATAGTACCATGTCCAGTATAGTCTATCATTGAAGAAAAAACGCAGTCTTACAGCAGGAGAGGGGCAGTGCGTTAATTTGCTATTCATGTAAAGTAACGGCAAAAAGATACAAAGATAAATAAATAACAATAAAAGGGACTTAAGTGATAAAAAAATTAGCCTCACTGTCATGCAACACTTTGAAACAATATCTTTTCAGTGATATAAAATACTCAAAATGGCACTTATAGATACTAAAACCAATGAATATGGCATTAGAGAAAGAGAAATCGAGTTAAATATAATCAAAGTCCACCCCTCAACCCTCGATAGCCGATTTCTTTATCCCTAAGTGTGGCTTTAAATCATTCCCATCTGGTGTTTGCTCCTAAATCTCTATATTTGGCTGACCTGTGGCTACATCCTGTCGCCCAGAGGAGTGTTTTGGAAAAGATCCATGAGACAGTGCTTATAATCCTCCAGCGAGCAGAGAGCCTCCCATCCACAGACAAGAGGGGACCAGAGGAGAGTCACATCCACGAACAAGAGGGGACCAGAGGAGACTCCTGCATATCCTCAATAGTTTTAGATTTTGAACTGGATTATTAACTCCTACAAGGACTTTTTTCCAGAGGTGAGTTTTTCATTTCCAAAAGCTGATTCTATAAAACTGTCCCATCTTTTCTTCAATAACTGGAGCTGTCGTAGAGGCAGCAATAACTGTAATTCAGTTTTTGTTTTCTCTATGTTCTGGTTCAGCTGGAGTGCTCGTGGGGGAGTCTTAAACAAGTCTATCGTTTACGACTTTTGGGATGAGCTTTCTTCGTCATCAATCACTGCGACTGTGTACTCCTGTCTCCAAGCAACTCAAGTACCTGTTGTGGGCCACGATTAAAACTGTAAGCAAACACACAATCAGAGAAAATAGGTTATAGTTTGTAATATCACTTGTAACTTTGCATTTGTGCTACAGTCTAAACCATATTGTGCAGAACTGTGGCATTTATATTTAAGTTTAAATCATTTTAAACTGGTTCAGCGTCATTTCTATCAGTCTGCCCCAGGGCGGCTGTGGCTACTGCAGTAGCTCACCACCTCACCAAGTGTGGAGTGAATGAATAATTCAATATTAAGCACTCTGAGTATCCTGAAAGACACCATGTTATGTTATTTATGTATTATATTAATAACACGATAAAGTATTATTAATATCATGTATTAATAACATGACAACATTTTGTCACATATAACATTTTGAATGTATTTATATGGACATAGTAATGTTATTGGATTTAAGACGTAAAATGTATTATGCTTACATCCATGAATTAGGAGGAATATAATAATTTACTGGGTAAAACTAAGATTCGGGGTCTCAGTGGAGGTGTAAAACTACTGTATATTTGAGACCATTTGTCATAGATTTTTTAAAAAGAAAATATCCATGTGATGCTTTTATATACTCTATGACCTTAGTCCAGATTAATCTGACCAGTAAAAATATTATGTGTGCCACAACAAATATTTGTTGGATTCTTGTATTGCCATAATTCTGAGACTCTTGTGATCACAGAGTGTAAAGTGTAAATGTGAATAATGGCGTTATTTTGTTCCTTCGCCACATGCTCAGCGCTACACACGACTGAAGGTGGCATCACACTCCAAAGCGTTTCCTTTTATATCGCTGTGTATGTGAAATGTGCACTGACAATGACACATTCTTATGAACTGTGATGAAGTCACTTCATTAGAGCCACAGTTGGTCTGCTTCCTCTCAGTTTGGCTCGGGACAACGATAGAGGTCTCTGTGTGTGTTTCTTCATAAACAAGCAAGAACTGACTTATTTTAGGGATTTTATCACATGTAAGACTCATTGTGACACACAGAGGGAAAAGTAACCAAGCTGCTTAACTTATACTTTTCCTTTTACTGCCCTCTACTGGTCATTATAATGTATAGACTCAAAAATGTATGTTGTAACCTATAATTCTTATTTTTTAAATCATTGTCATCTTCTTTTCTTTTTTTTTTTTTTTTTTTTTTTTTTGGCACCTTTCTGAGTTTTATGTCGCAGTTGGAGATAATATAGGCTATAATAATAGATAATTTAATCTGATTTAAAAGTCACTTAATGTTTTTATTATGTATTGTTGGATTTTTATGGTTATGTATTATTGTTGAATTTAGAATTGCACAAAAGCCCTTTTCTTAGAAGCAGTAACACACAGTTACATTTACACAGTATATTATATTAGGTGATACAGCCATTGTGGACTCCCTGTTGCTTCTATTTATTAGTCTCACCATGAGGCAGGTCCACTTTCTAACAGGGGACTAAACATGCGCTATGATGAGGTTATTTAAGGACAGGACAAGGACAGAGCCACCACTAAGCTTTAGCTGAAGCTAAAGGAGGTGATTAGAATCAAGTCAATTTATTGCTCTTATAGAGGAGCAGATTTACTTGACAATGGTTTTGAAAGAGCTTTTGGGTCAGTATCAATTCAGTCAGTTTACAGTGACTAAAAGATTTTGAGTGGCTAAATATTTCCAAGCTGGGGCAAAAAGACAAATGATGAGAACAGCATGTAAACTTCATCAAACTAATAACAGTTATTATAGTTGTGTAAATCCCTAGTCATGGTATTTTGTAGTTCAGGGTTACTTTTTTTGTATACTTGATATACAAAGCCTTTACATGTTGAATCTGTGTAAAAATCTATTATTTCCAAGTCATCCAGTGGGAAAAATATATTTATGGGGTTTGGAATGATAACATAATTGGGACTCTTGCTACAGAAATGAACAATTCAAAAGAAAACATCAAACCTTAAATGACCCCAACACAGGGAACTGAGAAGCTATTTTGTCCTGTCTTTCTCCCATACAGGATTTAAGAAACATCACCCCTTAACTGTGTGCGCCTGGTGATGAAAAACTACTTCTGCTCAATAGGGTGAGTATATCCATTAGCCTTTCATTTATTTCTATTAAACTGTACAGCAGGTGCATTTCTATTACAAACTTTGATCCTAATATTACCCCACACATTGGCTAGAGTGTTGACGTTTACCATATTGTTTGAAATCCTCTCTCTCTCTCTCCTCAGCTGCCCTTTGCTTACAGATGCAGGCAGGCCTCCAGATGTTTTTGAGGATTCTGTTGAACAAGCAGCTGGTCTGGGCTGCTCTGTACCTGTTTGGGGCAGGTGTAGCATTATCATCTGAACTCGAGTGTCCACAGAAATGCATTTGTAATGAAACTGAGCAAATGGTGAACTGTTCTTCCATCCAGCTAACCACAATCCCAAACAACCTCCCTTTGAATGCCAAATCAGTCAATTTAACCCACAACAAAATAAGATCCCTGGGTAGTCAACAGTTTCAAGGCTTAACACGCCTGCAGGAGTTGGATCTAAGCGACAACATCCTAGCGATAATTGAAGTACAGGCTTTTGTTGGGTTACAAGCTCTGGTGACTCTAAAACTCGCTCGCAATCACTTGAAGATTATTCCCGTGGAGGCGTTTAGCAGCTTACCCAAACTGCAGTTACTAGATATTAGCGACAATGAGATCCTCGTGTTGTTGGCTTTTACTTTCCGTGATTTGCCTTCCCTGCGCTATCTTAAAGCATCACAAAATGACTTGGTTTTTATCTCCCATAATGCGTTCACAGGTCTAACAAGTCTACAAGAGCTGTATCTAGATGGAGGTAATCTTACTGAAGTGCCAACTAGAGCGATAAATCAACTTGGAGAGCTAAAGAGTCTGCATTTGCACCATTTTGGCCTGGTTTCGTTGCCAAATTTCTCTTTCTACCCACTTGGGCATCTTAAGGAACTTGTTATTTCCCAGTGGGTTATACTTGAGACACTTTCAGTCAATAGTCTCTTTGGCTTGAATCTTACATCTTTAACTATGACATATTGCAACTTTAGCACTGTCCCTTACGTCCCTTGGCATCATCTTGTTTATCTTGTACGCTTGGACCTGTCATACAACCCTATTACATATATTTACAAAAATGTTCTTTCAGGCCTTCTTCGTCTACAAGAGTTTCATTTAGTGGGTGGATCCTTGCTTCACATTGAACTTGATGGTTTAAAGGCCTTGTATATTTCAGGGTGCTAAATATATCAAGAAACTATCTCACAACACTTGAATATGGCGTTTTTCATTCAATTAATACTTTAAAAGTGCTTGGACTTGACAACAACCCCCTTGTGTGTGACTGCCGTTTGCTGTGGGTGGTAAAAATACAATCGTACCTGAATTTTGGTGGAAATTTACCAGTTTGTGCCAAATCTAATCAGGAGCAAGGGTTGAGTTTTGTTGAATTTTCACAAGATGAGATCTCCAGGCTGCTGACATGTCGCCGGCCTAGAATAAGAAAACGTAAAAAACAGGAGGTCGCTGTGGAGCAGGGGCACACAGTGATGCTTTATTGCAATGCAGAAGGTGACCCTGCGCCATCTGTCACCTGGCTCGACCCCGGGCTCAGACCCTTGTTGCCCATTGGAAGACTGCGAGCTCTGCCTAATGGATCACTGGAGGTGCGGTATGCCCAGCCTCAAGACAGCGGCACTTATGTCTGTGTAGCATCGAACGCAGCAGGAAACGACAGTCTCCAAGTCAGCCTCAATGTCAGGGGCTTTCCATCATCAACCCCTAAAAAGCTATTCCATCTCAAGTCCTGGTTCGCCACGCCATCTGCCACTCCAGATGCCAGCACCACCCAGGAGTTCCCATTTGATGTCAAAACGTTACTGATAGCAGCGACCATAGGGTTTCTGTCATTCTCCAGCTCTGTGTGCTTGTGTTTCATCTTTATGTTTTTCTGGAGCAAAAGTAAAGGGAGGATAAAACACACTGCCACAATTGCATATGTGCCTCGGAGCACTATGTCCAGCAGTAACAGTGGGAACTGTGCCGAGACGACAAGCAGGTTTACAATGAAACTGTTATAACTTTAAATATGTGAAGAGAGAAACCTCAAGTGCCTTTTAACGTGCATGAGTGATATGTGTGTAGATTTAGTTGGTTAGATCATCTGAGAGTCTGTGAAAAGATAAACAAGAGGCAATCATAGCCCATAGATCAGGGACTGTCTTTGCATGAAATTATTCCATACTGTTACAACGGTTTGCAGGAGCTTCCATTCAAATTAGATTTAAATCCTGTGAAAACTCTGTCCTCACACAGCCTACAGTAGCCTCATAATGCCAAGAAAGCATTTCATGAATTAGTATAAATACACTTTGATTGGTGATTGGTTTTAACGTGTCATATTATTTTTTATGTTTAATTAAAAATTACTTGCTCACATGTTTTCTGTTTCATTATTAATAAGTGTATTTAAGGCTGCATTCGTGTATTGCTATATAATCTTTAAAATACAGAAGAGGCTTTAAAACATCCAAGAGCAGGGGCCTTGCACAAGAGGCCACTGCCACATCACTTCTTGTGCAAATTCTGAAGTTGGTGAGCTGCATATGGACTCCCATACTCATCTGCAACACGTAACCTATAATATCCTAATAAGTTAACCTGGTCTTTTTTATTGACCTAATTTAGTCTCAGGCAATATGTCAAAGCTATGCCTAAGTATGAATATTCACATTGATTTAAAATATTTAAAATGAATATTAAGAGCATTTAAAAGTTGACATACTATATTGTTTCTAATTAATGTGACATTATTGACTAATTGTCTATCCTAAAATTATAAAAAAAAAAAAAAAAAAAAACAGAATCGGTGATATTTTGAAAGGACTGCAGCACCGGAAGTTGTAACATTGCGCCGGACGTAGTTTGGATATCACAGAAGCTAAAGCTAGCATATAGTTGCTTTTTTCGAGTAACAATAAAATTAAACACTTTACGAATCTTTAATATTTATAAAGCCCACGTATAAATATAGCGATGGGCAGAAAATATGAATAAACAGTAAGCTGAGCAAGTATATTGAAGTCGCGGCGTTAATAGCTGAGTCCTACACAGAAAGAATCACAGAGTTTTTCGCTTTTGTGTTGATAAAAATAAAAACATGACTCTGGCTGTTGGCCGCGAGCCCCGAAAAACTGCGGGAAACCGTATGTCCAAACTCCTGGATGCTGAAGAAGAGGATGAATTTTACAAAACAACTTACGGAGGATTCAACGATGTGAGTAAATGTTTGAGATGAGCGAGCGCGGTGCCACAGAGGCTAACAGAGCGAGTGGAGTCCAAACTGTGGATGAATCTGGAGCAACTCAAGTCTAATAAAAGTCCACTTTAACTGACTTTGTTAAAAAAATGTAAAAGTAGGATGACAAGATTTTCAAATTTGGAGTGATTGGTGATTATAAAAATGTGAAACGAGTGCGTAATGAATGAAAATTGTTCTGCACTCGGCCCATTCATTATTTAGGACTAACATGTGAGTCAGTACAGTCACATTTTCTTTGTGTTTTGGTCATTTTTAAGCATGTTTTTCTTTATTTTACCTAAGCAAATGACAATTTATGCCTCTCTTAATTTTAGGAGGTATCAAATTGGTCAAAAATAGGGACACCTGGGACATTTCTTGTATAAAACTGGGACAAATCAGTGGTTTTGGATAAATCTGCTAGGACAGGGGACACGGGGCTCAAAACTGGGACTGTCCCGGGTAAATAGGGACGTCTGGTCACTCTACGTAAAAAACTTAAATGATTTAACAGTTGTACATTATTTTTATAACTTCAAAATTGAACTTCAGTCTAAAATTCGCTAAAAGTTAAATCAGGATTTTGCTGTTTATCAGTATATTCATTATTTATTTATAAAGATATGTCTTTACTGTACAATATCTTGATTTATTGCATAGAGGTTAATACACAGCCCTTGTAACTGGACAATTAATTGCAGTAATTCAGGTTCAGTTAGTGCGTTGTAAAACTAAACTTGCCGGTTTACCACCTGAAGGAATCTGGAGACGATGAGTATCATGGAGATCATTCAGACACAGAAGATGAAGTGGACAGTGACTTTGATATTGATGAAGGCGATGAGCCGGACAGCGACCAGGAGGAGGATGCACCGAAAAGGAAGAGCCGTGTAGTGACTAAGGCCTATAAGGTAAGATCAAACTATTCTATCATACATCACCATTACTGCTTGATGTAGTTTTAACTTGCTTTTTTGCTTTGACCAAAGGAACCAATAAAAGTGGCCAAACCTAAACCCAAAAAACCTGTAGAGGAGCAGAAGAAGACTGAGAGAACTAGAGTCGAACATAAAAGGAGAGTTACACAAGAGTTTCAAGATTTTGGTGAAAGTAAGGGCAAAATAAGTAAGATAACCACACACTTAACTATACTGTGTTATGTTTTCAATATCATCCTCTAACGATTTGCTTTTCTTTTCAAGCTCGTAAATCCGTACGACAGTCCACAAGTGAACACACTCGTAAAACAAATCTACGTCTACAAGAACGGCAGTATGCACCACGCCGGAGAAGAGGAGCTCACCGGGACAAACCCCTCACTCAGGAGGAGCTGCTGGCAGAGGCCAAGATCACTGCTGAGCTCAACATCCGATCATTAGGTTTGTCTGCATGTTATACTTCAAATACAATTTTAGCATAATTGTCTCTACACGGAAATGAAATTAGTTAGTTAATTGTTTACCATAGAGGATTATTTAGTACAATAGGGAATTTCATAGATAACTATTTACATTAGGAGTCACCAAACTTTTTTCTCTGGGGACCACATTATCACTCCTGACTGTGATGGGGGACTGGGGTCGGGCCGGTCATATAGCAGAATTGTATGACCCTGACGATGCAGATTATATTCTCTGAAAACCACTACACTTTCTTTACATATCAGACAAACAGCACGGTCCTTACACTGAACAAAAAAATAATCAGTCATCGACTGTTCTTTGAAAACTCGGCTCACTCTGTCAGCTTTTCGTATTTCAACACTTGCCATTTTTCTGTCCTTAACTGCACTACAGAACTCTGCGCATGCGTTGACTGTCACTGTTTGATCTCAAGCTTATCAGGTGACGAAAATTCAGCAAAAATGTGCCAAAAAGTAATTTTAAAAAATAGGCCATGACAACTTATGAGAATTGCCTCATAGGGCCAGTCCAATTGGTGGGGGACCAAAGGGCTGGGTGCCGGTCAAAGGGGCGTGGCGGGCCGGAGTCAGCTTGTGGGCCTTAATTTGATGGCCCCTAGTTTACATGGAGCTGGAAATACTGAAGTTTTTTGTGCTGATTTTGGCTTGTAGAAAATTATGAAAGACTGGAGGCAGATAAGAAGAAACAAGTTCACAAGAAACGCCGCTTTGATGGACCAACAATCCGCTACCACTCAGTCCTGATGCCTATAGTCTCTTCCTCTATGTTGAAGGAAGAAAATGTTGATGTTGAAGGGTACGTAAAAATGCTGTCTCTAAAAATAGTTACAGTTCTATGCATTTAAGCACCTTTGGGGATGACTAAGTGTAATCATTGTTTTTTTTTTCCTTCTAAGATTGGATCAGGATGTCCCTCAGGCTACCACAGCTAACCCAGGCACACCGTCCCAACAGCAGCAGCAGCAGCCAACTGGGGGCTTGTGCTCTCGTACGTACATAACATTCAGTGATGATGACGCGTTTGAAGCAGCCTTTCCCAACAGAGGTCAGTCCGCTCCCCAGCTCCCCATTCAGGAGGTCTGCCCCGTCACCCACAAGACTGCTTTGTACCGGGACCCTGTCACTGATATACCCTATGCCAACGCACGGGCCTTCAAGATCATCCGAGAGGCATACAAGAAATATGTAGCTGCTCACGGGTTTCCAAACACATCAGGGGCAGCTTCAGGACAGGACGTGGCGTCAAAAGGAGCTCGGCCAAAGACGGTGGCTAAACAGACTGCTGCAGCAACATAAAGTCACACTTATTCATTTTTACTTGTTATATTATTGTTTTGTACTTTTAATTGTCTATTTGCGCTTTTGTGAGATGAACTTTCAATGGCATTGCTGGACAAAAATACACACTGGTTTAATTTGAATACAAATGACAGTATTCATCAAGACTAAACTGGTTGCCTTTGAAATCTTGGACAGTTTTTATACAAAATAAATTCCTAAATTACTCACAAATTCTCCTTTTCATCACATTAATTTACTTAAAATAGTATTGTTTTTACTTTAGATAGGGCAAAACCTCCTGTCAGCCTATTTTACTAACTAGTAGTGAAAGAAGAGTATATTGTATCAAAGTGTTTTAAATCTAAACGATCAATTTTTGTTGAAGAGTAAGTTACCATAGCTCTGTGCTAATTACAGAAAGAATCATAGATGCATTTGATTGCAGGTGTGACCTTATATAAATGAAGATAGAAAACTAAAAAGTTAGCAGCATGTACTTTTTGTCTTTTACTATTTCTTGAATTCAAAATTAGCCCCAACCTGCTGTGACAGAATGACTAAAGACTGCACCTCTCTGGCCTTACAGTGCCCTCTTCAGCATAACAAAGGCATTTCATTAATTTAAATTGAATAGGTGCAAGTCACTTAAATTATTTCTGAGTTATTACTAATACAAAGTGTTAAATAAGGACAACCCACTGAGCTCTCAGTTTCAAATAGTAGTTCTCTTTTTCAACCGTCAAATCAAGCTATGAGCCCCCACAGTATGTCAAGCGGCTTTGAGACAAGGGGTACATTTTAATATTAATAAAGGACGACTGACAGCCACTGTAAATCAACCTTGAAGACTGTGTTTAATTTTAACCCAAAATGTCCCCCTGTGTTTTGGCCGTGTAGCAGATGGTTTGGGCTGGATTCTGACAGCACCTTTGCAGGAATGCTCCACAAAATCTGGTTTGTCCTCGTTGCCAAAAGGATCATGTTGCATTCAAGCGGATTTTCTCATGCTGTTACCAGGGATGTCATGGGGTATGTCCTGATGATTCTGAGAAAGAATTGATGTTCTAATTAAAAACATCGGTTCATTATTGCACAGGCAAAAAAACTTTATAGCACGCTGGTTAGTTTTTTCAATTAGTGACACATTATATTGTAGGAGTTTCATGTTTAGGGTGCTTTTAAATGTTATTTTTTCTTGTGTTTACAATTATAGTTTATGGCAGCTGTGGGTAGGCAATCCATATCCATATCAATCCATCCATATCCATAACAAAATATAATTTGGCAAAGTTAACATGGTGAAGCGCTTAGTTTCTTGATTCATGGTAAAAAAAAAAAACCTTTGCTGGTCTCAAATATGGACAGGTTTTGGAAAGGGCATCTGGTGTAAACCAACTACATCAATCTGTCTATGACCTATAAAACTTAATATGATATGATGCTCAAAATTGTGTAACACTGCTTCTGCTTACAGGGCTCCTGGGCTCAAAACATAGGCCTGGAGCAAAAATACAAAAATTATACTTTACTAAATACACACAAAAATGGGGAAAAATGTGAAACCAACCATGTTAATGAAGCGCTTTGTGTTGCATTTTTTTGTATGAAAAGCGCTCTATAAATAAAGTTGGATTGATTGACTCATTGTGATGACTAACTAGGAATAAGGAAATATAAGGGAAAAATAGAAATAACTAGGAAAAATACTACAAAAAATATAGGCAATAAAAAATATACAAGGGGAAAAACTGGCCAAACATCCACACTCGGAATCTGGTTATTCATTATCAGGAATCTACAAGCTTATTTTTATACATATATATGCAGTAATAATACTGATACTGAAGACATGGATTATTCACTTTTTTGTATATGGGTCAGGGTCTAGAGCCGTTTGAGGATAAACTCTCGTCTTTTGTCACAGCTCTTTTAATGTGATCTTTTTATAGACATCCAAATGGGTTCTGACTTAGTGACTTCTAATGCTGCATGACAATACAAGTCTCAACCACGACATCTTACCTCATTTATTAAGATATGTATGAAGAATAATGACGAGAATTTCCATAATGAGCTAAATGTCTCTGTTTAGAAGAGACTGGAAGTGAGAGACGCTGCTAAAATGACATTCAGGCAAAGGATCAGACGGCTTGAGCAGTTTAGAAGAATGCCATCTGTAAAATGTTCTTGAGGGCCCTCTGCAGACACCATCCTCGTCTCAATGCGTGTGTGTGTCATCGCTACAGCTGACAGACTGATCAGGCTGCCCATTAATCACTGTCTGATTCAAACATTTACATAGAAAATCAGATCAAATATCACAGCGCATATGCCAGATAATGGTTAGGATAACAAGCAGTGGTGGAGGAAGTACTCAGTTTTGTTACTTAAGTAAAAGTACAAATGCATGAGCAAAAAAAGTATTAAAGTACCCGCACTGTAAACCCAAATAAGTTAACAGAACTCAAAATAACTGAGGCAATCGATTGACATAATTATTTTGAGTTGATGAACTTAAAAGTCACATATTTGCAGTTAATGACTGCATCTGTTTAGGCAACTCAGTTATTTTTATTTATGACTTAAAAATAAAGTAAAAATAATTATATAAAATAAAAAAATAAAATAAAACATTTAGTCCCATGTGCATTTCAGACCATTTGCCTCGATCAAATTATGATGTGTTATAGCAATTTATTTGTTATGATAGATTTTAATACTTATTTGGTGAATTGCTTTGAAATTGTGTTATATTTTAACATCAACTGTATATATTAAGCTTACTTTTAAATCGTCCGTATTTAAAACAATAGAAATAACAGGACTTTATCATTTGTTTGTTAAGTTAGTAGGACCATTTCTAAAATTTGGAGTATACACAACTTAATCTATTTAATTACTTTGAACGTTTGCGGTGTTAAAATGTACTTAAAGAGTAAAAAGTAAAAGTACTGCAGATTTTTAGGGCTTATAAAGCTTCACGTGCACTGATTTTGATACAGATTTCTGCTGAATTGTGTTCAACAAAAACAAATGAATTGATACTTGGGTCTGGTCAAGCGGTAACGGAGGGAAACGAGCAGATTTTTTACATTCAAATAGCTCTTATTCAGAAACTAGAGGGATTATTGAAATAAGTAAGGTATCAGAATGTAGGAAAGAGTTAGCACTCCAACAGGGTAAAGTTAAACCTGCGATATTCTTTCAAGTTGACAAAAATGAAAAAACTCATGTCGGTAACGAAGGGAATGAAATATGCAGCAATTTTTGGGCAATAAATACAAACAGCAATAACTACCGGTTCTCACTTACATATCCTTAACAAACTGGTTTGAATATTTGCTTAAAGGTTGTATGGAGGATTTTTTTTTTGTTTCAAATTGTCAATGATAGCATTATAGAGATGCAGTAGCCTTGTAATTATGATGACCAAAAAAAAGACAATAAAAATTCATCAACTCTGGACATGGTGGGGCTAAACATTTGCCAACAGATAACGACACTGCCTCGTTATCTGTTAGCTGACAGGCTGTCAATCAATCTCCCTACGTTTCTAGCGTAACTGACTTGCCTGTGCGCTGCCATTACGTGGTTTACGTACGCCTGTCAAGCAGTCCACACACGCAAGACGCTGTTTACTCCACCAACGCAACAGCTCTTAGCGGCTTTTTTGCCCTATATCTTCCTCACAGTTAGCACAAAGTTTGTTGCAATGGCGACAAGAATCCAGGAGCAGTTAGCCGCAAAAGAAAGTCCGTTTTTGAGGTCATTGAAAGAAGAAGACAAGGGGAAAAGCAACGAAGCCAAACTAATTTGGTGATTTTTGGAGATTCATTCCAGCGATTGCGCGACTGAAGCAGACGGAAGGGTCTAAAGACTGACGCACTGGTCGCCAAATTACTTCTGGACAGGTAACTTCTGCTTATTATGAAAATGAATTTTTTTTTTTATTTCCAAGAGCTAGACAAATGTTTTTCAGGACACGAATGCGATATCCTATGTCTGAAAACGTAATTTTCAATGCAAAGAAAGAGTCCGCTTGCTGCTGCGTGTTGTAGTAGTAGCTTCATTAGCATGGAATCTCCGCGCACCCTTCTCTGCACCCCTTACTGCTCCTCTCCCCGCTGCCCATTTCGCTCTTCTCCTTGCTCCTCACTTCTTTTCTGCGCACGGAATCTCCGCACACCGCTCCCCTCTCCTCTCTCCTCTCCCCGTTCCGTTCTTCTCCCTGCTCCTCCTCTCTCCTCTCCGCTCCTCTCTCCTCTCCCCGTTCCGTTCTTCTCCCTGCTCCTCACTTCTTTTCCGCGCACGAAATGTCCGCGCACCCCCTCCCCCTGCTCCTCACTTCTCCGCCTTGCCTAACCAACACTGTAGTTAGTTGTTTACAAGTCATGTGCAGCGATGAATACTTTCTGGCGTAAGGAGGAGGTGGGAGGAGGCGTTTGATCACTTTATTTTAATAGATCCATGTTCTACGTAGGGAGCTGTGGGGGAGGGGGGGGTGGTTTCACGCATGCGCAACATTTGAAAAAGGACAAACAGTCGCTGGATTTCTCGTTCCTTGGAAAATCCTCTATACAACCTTTAATATAGTTTTCTACCATATGGTACAAGATTAGGTTGAAAAACCTTTTACTTTTTGAGTAATAAGATTTTTTATTAAGAAAGGTCATGGTAAGGAAGGGAAAAGTAATGGAGGGAAAATTGTAGTAGAAGGTGCATGATTTTGCATAATTTGTCATCTGTTTTCTTCCGAATACTTTAATATTACTTCAAAATGAAAGGTAACTATTTCTATAAAATATGTCAGTCCTTCCAAGCAAATTTTTATCATTTTAAATACATTTTTTTTTTTTGAAAAATCATGTACCTTCATCAACAGTTCAAAGATGGAATAACACAAGATATGATGAAATACATCCATTTATTTACATGATTTGCAGGTCTTTGAAATTTGAGAAATAATTTTTGTTCCATGTTGCATACATGGTATGTAAGTAAGTAACATAAGTAACTTTAGAACCAAAAATGATACAGAAAAAAGGTAAACAGTTTCATAAACTAGAGCACATATGCTATCTGTTGAATACATTTTTATATCAGATGCATTAACTTGAATTTTTAGCCTTGCTGTATACTTCTGCTTGAGTTTTTTCCCCCAACAGTTTTTATTTATTTGTATACTTTTGCTTAAACTACAAACATGTTAAAAATAAATCGTAAGCCTTTTC